GAGTAAAGTTTTTTTATCTGGCTTAACCGACCTTTGATCCTCCTTTCCTGATTCTCCATCTCTGGGAAAAATTTTAGAGCCATTAAAGTTAAATTCCGACATCCCATTCCCCAAATTCCGCCATCAATTCATTTTATAATATTACTCCGTTTTCAGTGTTTTGAATAATGATACATTTTTTTAAGAATTGTTTACAAGTATTGTATATGTAAATAATTCGTACGTTAGTCCATACAACGGAAAAATGTCAGTATAAGCTTTTTTTGAGAATTTACACAAAAATTCAGTGTATATACATGAATTAATTTACAAGCAACATAGAAACCCAGTTTCAGATTATATTTTCATCTCATATGATCAATGAATCGATTTTGTTCACAATATTTGATTATTTAGAAGAGCAGTTGGACTAAATGGAATTAATGAATTCTGCTCATTACCTGATGATTTTTAGAAGATTCAATGCCCTATATGTTGCATCAAATACTATAATAATAAGTTTTGGCAAATAAATTATTCATCTTTTATAGACTCTTGCTAAAGTGATGGATTATATTGTAAATTTGAGATATAATTCTCATTTCAAAGTCATCTGTGATTCTTGTCACAAAATATAGCTGGTGTATATGATATTGCTGGCTTTAACATTGGCCGATGACCAATTTTTAAGTTACATACATACATTGGACAATAGAAGTGTCACCCCTACTGAACAAATACTTTGGGGGAGATAAATGACTGTGGAATGATATGCTCCTGGTATCATTTTATTGACATCAAATTTCACAAAAAGACCAACAATACAATTCCATGGTACAGCGGTTTTATACTCATTAGTCACATTCTAAGTAGACCAGGCATTATAACTTTGATTACTCTGATTCAGGAGGTGACACTTCTATTGTCCAGTGTGTGTAGGTGGTCTCAACCCCTTGAGTAATGCAAAAATACATCTAGTTGGTTATAATTGCGTACCCTGAGTAACAGTACTGGACCGAATGGCAGGTCACGTGTACACTAATGACGCAGACAGTGGCAAGTCAATTTTGTTCTGCACATTGAAGGGTGCCAATGCTTCGACTTAAAGCCAAGAGGATAACTTGATTACTTTTGAGGATGTGGTGTTTTGCGAAAAAAAAAAAGACTAACAGACGGTGCTGCTTGCGTTGGAATCACTCAAAGAGCTGTGCTTCAGTTTTTGGGTATTTATGAATGGACCGTTCTTGAGCTAATGGTTGTTCTCACTGTGTTACTACTAGTATTAAGACATTCAAATGTTGCTGAACAATATTACACTTTCTATGATGTGCATGTATCATGATGCATGATAGAAGAGATATGCCAAAGTGGTTATACTCGATTTCGACGACTTATTCTTAAAGCAATAATAACTCTTCCTTTGAGATTCAAAAATCCGCATGAAATACATTGTAAAAAACGCATGGAAATATATTCTATTGTATTTTACCACTAAAACGGCCGTTATTGTAGGAAAACTAAAATCTGTGCTTGTCAATAGGGCTTACGATGCCTTTTTTCCGGTCGACAAGTGCATTCGTTGCTAATGACGTAATGGTGTCACGCGGATTCTCGCGTTCATTCGAGACCAAAATAACATGGCGCCAAACGCATTAGTGCAGACGCAGACGTAAGTTGCGAGTTTTTGTACAGTGCGTCGGATAACGAAAAGCCCAGAATGGCACACATTGTGGATATAAATGCATTTTTAACAAAAAGACGAATATATCTCATGAATCTTATATAGTGTTGTTGTTGTCTGCTTTTCCCGCGGTTTTAAGTAGGTCACCAGTGACTTTGCAATGTCAGAGAGAGCTCCGTCAGTTAAAATCTCTTAAGAGATTTTAACAAAAAACCGTACGTTTAGGAAAAAAACCCTGGATTAACTTTGAATGCAGGAATGGGGTCGTTGGCCATTGGTAAGTACGGGAAAATTGCCGTTTTTTCCAGGAAAATCCAATTTTTGGCCAAAACGAAGAGTTATTATGACTTTAAAATTATATAAAATAGGAGTATTTTAAATCTGAAGACAGCTATCGAGTAATACTTTAAAAATTAGCAGACATCGAGGCGATATACGCTGTTTGACACATTACTTCTTCATTAATTTTGCTTAAAAAAAAGAAAGCAAAAAGATGTGTATTTTGTATTTGTATTTGTCCTTGTATTTGCCTCTCTGTGAATCAAAATGGTCTCATTCTATGCTAGCATTGTCTATTTTAAGTCAGTCGTCTGAATAAGTATGTTGTTGAATTCAATTGTTGGGTTATTGTTTCCTTGCTTTTGGTTTCTAATAAACACAAAGCTTCATTGCATTAGATGTGCCTGCAATTTTCATGTGAAAATGCATAGGTCTCAACTAAGCAAATGATACACCTGTCCAATACAAAAGATGTCTTTAGTCTATGAGCCAAAGGCCAAAAAATCCAGTTTGGCTACACAACCAATTAGGCAAAGTTTTTATGATTAATTCTTGTAGTTAAGAACCTGAATTTTGAATTTCTTCTCGCAGGGGCGGATTTAGGCCGTCTTCTGGGTCTTCTGGAAGACGGTCAGATTTTCAAGTTCAAGTTTTGGGTATCTAATTGTTTCTGTTGGAAGACGGTCAAAAATGAAAGATGGATCAATAAAGATAATTTGGAAGACTGTCAGAAAATATTTCTGGATCCGCTCCTGTCTTGTTCTTGAAAAAGTGTCCGTTTGTACCGGAAACGCAAAATCCAAGATGGCCGCCAATATATTAATTTGTCATATGTAAATACAAAAATTGATTTTAAAGTTACTTAACAATCGACCACTGCAGTAGTCACAGTGAGATCCTATTCAGACCCTGTTTTGTACAATTCAGTCATTGGCGAGTGTATTGTATTAATGTATATATTGTATTAATGTATTTACATGGTAGGTATGCCCTGTTTTTTGTAACACGCAAAATTTAAATATATGTGGCAAATACGTGGGCCCCATGCCTCCGTTATATGCTTGTTTTTGCATTCTGACACGACAAGCGAAGCGAGACGAAGAACATTACTGTGTTCCCTTTAATTATGATCCTAGATTCCTCACCGTCTTTGTTTCCACCTAATTGTATTTAATGTATTTTAAAATAAAAAGGTATATTTTAATAACCAAATATATGATATTATCACATCTTTGTTCTCAGGGTATAAACAGAGTTGACCAGAGAGAAGCAATCACTGAGAGCCGGGGACAGTTCGCAGCCGAAGGTAGGATATGCGTTCTTTTCTTTAAATAATGAAACAACCACAGAATTACACCTTTTATTTTATCAGATTCAAGGGAATACATATCTAATTTAAATTGAATTAGAGATGTTAATGCAATACTCAGAACCGTACCAACTGGAAAAACAGTAACCGACAGGCTAGCAGACCATGCAAGGATATAAACTGATCCATATAATTGCTCGCAAAAGCCTTTGCCCCATCAAGGAAGTATAAAATCACGAACGTAGATCCATGCAGTAACAGCCAACCAATGTATCCCAAAGTTTGTATAGGCACATCACGCATCTGACCTTCATTTAAAAAAGAAAGAAACAAAATCCTGGAATTTTCAACAGTTTCCTTTTGCATAATTTGTATTGATCGATTACATATTTTTCTTTTTTTAGGACATGGTTGGGATGACGTTCACATATATATGATGGACACCTGAGTACAACACACCAGTTTGAGTTAGAATTACGTGCATGAAACTGCTATTAAACTCCGTTTATGCTGTAGCTGTATTTTCGAGTAGATTTCTTCTAAACTCTCACTAAGAAATGATGATAATACAGCACAAAAGCTTAGGTAAAATGTCCAACATTTTATAGTGTATTGAAACGTATTTTATGTTGCCTTTTCGAGGCATGTGGCAGAGTAGTAAGCTAACTACGTGTGTGTGTGTGTGTGTGTGTGTGTGTGTGTGTGTTTGCGCTCGCACGTAGGATGGAGGGTGGGCTTCTTTGTCACGTAATTTACGGAACATATTGCCAGTAGGACCAAAAACAATACAGTGCGACACCTAGAGACAAAATAAAGACCAGTCCAATGTTGAGACCGATTTTTGCAGCACGTGATTGTTTCAGTGACGTTATCTTAAGCAGACGACATTGTTGCTCTTGCTGACGTTGCGATTCTTCAGGTGATTGGTGAATACCAATCAACCAATCACAGGCTTTGCTATACCATGGACGAGACTCCCATTCTGGAAAAGATGTGACGTCAGTAATGGCAACCATGGTATTTCAAATATTTTTCACCATTGTTATCACTATATACCACCGTAATCATAATGATGACAATACTAATAATGAACGGTCATACAACCACTGTTAATTTATTGTGAAATAAATAAAAAACGGAAATTTGATTAATACCCTAGGCTAAAAAATTAAATGAAATAAGAGAGTGGCTTAATTTAAAAAAAGTTAGATTAAGTAATTAACTGAAATATAACGACGTTTCATTATTAAAAAGAGCTACAGAAGTTGGATTAAAGCTCTTGAAAAACTTCTTGGTTCCTCTTTAAGTTAAAAGTGTACTTTTACCTAAAAGGAATTTTAAAAGGTTTTCGCCAACTACTTTATTGAAAAGGTATATCAAATAAATAAACAAATAAATAAAGCAATGAATAAATGAAAATGCTATATCGCTGCAGTATACCCACCCACTTCTTCCGACGTATTACCAGGATTGTAGCTAGGATCCCGGAAACTGTGGTGACCGTTTACTGATTCCGCGGACACAGTAAACACTGGTTTTTGTTTGTCAGAATCTGTAAATAAAATTACACATAGTAGGTCTTATCCCATATCTTGGTACGACATACGTTGTGCTGAAAATATGTTTCTGCTATGAAAAGGCACGGATAAGATTTATTTTGGAGGGTACAATAATTTCTTCTTGTCTTAAAGTTTGCGATGCCCTTTGTCTTAAAATAATTACCAACATATTGGACCTCGGGATACGACTTACCTAGGGTTGAATTACTTTCCCCCTTTTCCAAGCCAGGGTTATCCAGCCCCGTTTCCATGGAGTTGGTGGTTGCCTTAGAGATATCGTCGAAATGCATGCCGGACTTGGACTCCATTATCACTTCCTCTCTGTCACGATTGTCATGCCGCGTCCAGAATGTCGTGCGGATCAACTGCAACAAAGATACTTTTGATTCTTTTTGAATATGACATTTGAATCTAGTTTAAAAGAAACAGGTTATCTGTCTATCTATCTATCTTGCATAGCCTCCTTTACGTCGTGTTTGTTGTTTTGTGTGACCAAGCAGCAGGCCTACAAATACACGTGTAGACTACACAGAAAATGACTACACAAGCCCTCAGTCTTGAAACAGATAGGCTTATTTTTATTTCAATGTTTTCAATCATNGATACTTTTGATTCTTTTTGAATATGACATTTGAATCTAGTTTAAAAGAAACAGGTTATCTGTCTATCTATCTATCTTGCATAGCCTCCTTTACGTCGTGTTTGTTGTTTTGTGTGACCAAGCAGCAGGCCTACAAATACACGTGTAGACTACACAGAAAATGACTACACAAGCCCTCAGTCTTGAAACAGATAGGCTTATTTTTATTTCAATGTTTTCAATCATGCATGTTAAGATATATATATTCTAACTATATTAAATTAAAATCTGACAAAGCCATATCAATTATTAAAAAAATGCTTAAAAACTCACGCGTTTCTCTTCCGGAGCCTCCGTACAGTAACTGACGATGGCAGCGACAATGACAGTCATCCAGAACAACAGCATGGCAAAGTACATGTACTGGAAATCCTTGATTATGGCCGGCCTGTCGTCGACATCCCCGCACTTCTGTGCGCCTGGCCAAATGAACACGAGGACCAGGCGAGTGACCCCCGTTAGCAAGGCCACCATTAATGCCCAAAATACGCCCTGTTGTAGAGAAATAATAATAATAATTTTAAAATTAACAGCCCTTATTTGTCTCAGCACTGTGTAGATGCACAACATATAAAATTTTAAATTTATTTCAAAGGAGGAAGAATAAGTTCCTTCGTCACTTCCTTTCGTATTAAAACTCGGCAAATCCCAAATTCTTCTTTTTCTTTTTCTTATATTGCTCAAATCCTTACTTCTTTTTTTAAAATTTGAAATTTATTTCAAAGGAGGAAGAATAAGTTCCTTCGTCACTTCCTTTCGTATTAAAACTCGGCAAATCCCAAATTCTTCTTTTTCTTTTTCTTATATTGCTCAAATCCTTACTTCTTTTTTTAAAGTCATAACCTTTGGAAACGCGTCTTTTTGTAAACACTAAAAGGATAAAGAACAGAAGATATAACCAGCACCCTTCAGTTGTTCAACAAATACTTTCTTAAGTTTTGGATGCAATAATTCCGGTATGCCCCAAGGTTCACCATTTCGCATTTGATTTCCTCCTACTTAGATGCTACGAGCTGCTAGAATATCCAATGACATTTGCACTTACCTGCTCGTTAATTCTGGGCCATACGACCCCAAGGATGAAAATAGCGGCAACAGGAGGCGCTAGGTAGTTGGTCACCTCTTGGATATAGATGAACACCTGACCACCTTGCATCTCCTTGACAACCGGTACCCAGGCAACCGCCACAGCCGTCATGACGAGCACGAAGACCCTGAAAATACCAGCACATCTGTCACAACAACCAATATACATACGCTGTGTATTGACGAAACAAAATAACTAGCTGAATAAATAAATAAAAACTTTCATTTTTTATAAAAAGATACTATACACGGTTTGCACTAGCACTACCAGATTTTTAAACGAAAGGCATGAAGGATCAAAGTTCTTACCGTAAGAGTACAAACAGTAATTTCATGCTTTGGAATGATTACCAGTATTAAAACAAGTATCCATAGTAGAAACTCGGTGTGATCATCATCATTATTATTATCATTATAGCCAGTGACATTTGGATTATATACAAGCCCACCCTCATGTACTCGCAGCCAAAACGTTAAGAGTCTTTACTCCCAAACTTGCATTAAGTGTCTTTTGTGTGACATTCTTAAAAGTTAATGATTTTATACACGAGACATCGGGAAATACTTAGATGTATACATTAACCTACCGTCCCACTATCATTAACTCCCGCACTGTTGCTTGCTTACGGAACCGTTTCCAGACGTCAATGGTGAACAGTGTGCTGGCACTGTTAAAGATGGAGTCCAGATCACTCATCAGAGCAGCGATCATCACCGCCATCATTAGTCCTCTAAGACCTGCAGAACAATGATTATAAAGAATCGTCACTTATTTGAGTTATTTAAGGCGTTGATATGAAAATGCATCATATTTAATTGATGGGTGTCATAAACTACATGTACATGTACCAAGTCCTGCTGCGATGATTAAATTTACACATAATTTCATGCATGAATTATTTTTCTTTGGCACTTGATAACGACACAACTCCTGTGACGTCAAATTGATAGAGACACTCTTTACGTCACATGTTCAGTGGTGGTTGTCATCGTGCCGTCATATAATTTAAGATAGCTCACCGATGGGCATGACTCCCAGTACCAGCTTAGGGTAGGCAATGTTAGTGCAACCCGCATAGCTTTGGCAAATTTTGTAACATTCTTCTGGATCAGCACATGCCACTTCATCTACAAAAAAAAAATAAATAAATAAAAAAATAAAAAATAAATAAATGAATAAAATAAATAAATAATAATAAAAAAAATAATAAAATAATAATAATAATAAATTAATCAATTAATTAAAAAAAATTAAAAAAAAAACAAAAAAAAACATTTCTGTTGCACTGGTGATGTGATGGGAGGGGTGTAATGGGTTAAGTATTCCCTTCATTTTGAAGGCACCGCATTCTATTCCCCTTTCCTTCAAAACTTTCTTTCCATTATACTTTTGTATATTTTATATATGATACCCCTTTGCAAAACTGTGTATCCGTGAGAGTAATGGGTTTCACTCTTGCAGTTTTTAAACTTTTTAAAGTGTTGTAGATCAATATTTATACTCGATTAATAAGGGCTAGGTAAATTATATTTTTGCTCTATCAATAAACAAACAAATAAATAAATAAATAAATAAATAAATAAATAAATAAATAAAAGCTCACTTGGGTAGAACACCCTGCTGATCATGCCTGGCATCACCATCATGAACAGCGGGAGTATCTTGATGAATCCCGCCATAAGTGTCGCCCCCTGTGCGTGGGAAAGACTCTTAGCAGCCAGCGCTCTCTGGACGATAACCTGGGAATACATTGCAGATAACCCACTGATAAGAGTCAATTTAAAATATTTATTACGAATTTTTCCACCGCGTTATTTACATACTTCATGGACATCTACCCCAGCTAACTCGAAAATTATCAAAAAAAAGTCCAAAGTAAACGTTTTCATGCTAACGTTATGATTTCATTGTCTGTACTTTGCCCATCTGGAATAATACGAACTTAAGAGTTAAATTAATCTGATTTTTAAGGCCGGAATAATATGCTTGCTGGCGTGAGTGTGTGCAGAAACATATGCAAATCCTGTGCCCGTCTGAAAACATATGTCCTCCCACGCACCTGATCGCTGCACCAATACCAGATGGAGCCAGGGGTCTGCCCAAAGAGGAACCCCGCCCATGGCATGTCGTTATCCCTGGCTTCCTTCAGCATCTGGAAGGCGTTGGACGGAGGGATGCCGCAGGTCTGATTGGCGACCAGTTTTGTCGGTATGGCCTGTGGGAAGGTGCGAACCAGTTCACCGTAGCCTCCAAGTTTCCAGAAACCTGAAATTGTAAAAAAAGTAAACAAGATACATTTAACTGCGACATGTATTTAATTTGTCTTTAAAATATATATTCTGTAGAATATTTGTAACTAGATGTGTATCATTATACTTAAACCTGAGGTTAAACATTACATTTTTACCAAAGAGAAACGTTAAAATTATTTAGCACTCTTACCAGGAATTGTATAAGTAGACTTTTAAGTTTTAAGACTTTTAAAAGAGTTAAAATTACTGAAGACAATCTGTTAAGGGGTGTACTCACTCATTCCCATCAGAGTGAGGGCGCCCCCTACCATCAAAAAAGCCTGTAATGTGTCGGTATATATGACAGCAGTCAAGCCACCTATGTTGGAAAAAAAAACTGAACAATGTTTATTATATGGCTGCGACAAGAAAGTTAAGTGTTTTACAATGCAAATCCGTAGCTAGATATTTCAAAGGTATGTTCTTTTTCTGTAAAATTTGACCTTTTACCATGACACCTTCGTCTGTTTAGATCAAAATTTACTCAGAACGGACCATTTTCCTACAAAAAGGCGGTTCGTTAATACCCGTCTCCCCCCCCCCCCAAACTCCCTGGATACAGGTCTGATACACATTCACGTATATGCATATGTATATGCATGTGTATATTTACATATGCATCAGTGGAGCCCACCTGTAATTGTTAGAATAGCAGTGACCAGAATAAGGACCAGGATGCTCAGGTAAAGGTCCCACTTCAGCGACTGTTGTATGAACAAGCCACCGGTATACAGATCCACCTGAAAGCGAAACATTGATATCTCACTGATATAGGTACTCTTTGAAAAAAAAAAAAAAACGGTTGGCTCTTTACACCTTCGTCCTAAAACTTCGTCGTAAAATCGATTAGTTTGTTGAATTATTTGTATTCTTTACTCTCGTGCATAGTATGTGTATCGATCCATAGAACTACCGATTTTACATCACCACTTACCTGGTAAGTATGAAACATTTCAGAAAATATGAAATAATATGAAAATTAATTATTTTACTCATTAGCTCCTCGATAATCCATTAGGAATTAATATAATAAAGATCACCGAAGAAAATTTGGGATGCACTCACGGAACATTTTGTAAAGATATACAGTATCAGCGAGAGAAAAGCGAAATAGACTCGGAGTCGACTTCCGCCAAACCTCTTCTTCAGGTACTCGGGCATTGTGTATGTCTGGGTAGAAAAAAGAAAACGTGTTAGCCACTTTTCACGTTATAGTTTTTTAAAATTCATAAGCAACATTTAGTTACCCACACATAATGGGTGTAATGAAAACATTAGTCGTTTGGTAATTAATACAAGGAATGTCGATTCTCTCTTGTGCTCACTAGTATATTTCGTGTGTATGCCTTCTGTAATATGACTTTTGTGAACACAATTTACTGTCGTAAGAGGTAATACACACAATGCTATCATTCTCTCCACTCTATCTCACTTAAATGAATGCTAAGTAGCAAAATTAATTTAACAAGAATTTACCTGTAGAAAAATGTAATGCCTTACACAAAGGGTTATTCTTCTATACTCTTTACGGTTCTCATCCGTGCTTGTGTTTTGTCACAGAGAGTTATTTGAATGAAATCGCCTGTACTTTCATAATTTCATTTTTTTGCGTAGTTTTGTCTTAACTCTAGAACTAAAATTTTGACCTATTCCAGTTCAAGATATTAGTAAATCTATATTACAGTATAAAGTGTCTTTTTTATTGCTTGTAAAACAGGCTCATTATATATTGGACTACTTCTGATTTATCTTTGGTTAAACTTAAAGTAGAATAAATTTTTTGTTTAAAAATTCAGATCAGGTTGCCGGATTACAAAGCAGCCCCTGATTCCAGGGTGTACTTACCCCGCATGCTATGTACACTGGAATAAACACCCAGCCCAGCAACTGGAGAAGCAGAATGGCCTAGAGAGTGGGAAATAGTACATGTAGTATTACACTGATTAGCATGGGTATATTGTTCATTAAATATCAATCATTAAATTGTGTTCTATTTTAAAATAAAAATAAAAATTTCTTTTAAAATTAAATTATTACTTGTTTGAAGAAGTGCGTATGGGTCGGCTGCACCTATTAAAATACATGCACAGGGTAGCCTTAATAAGATTCCCGAGCTCGGCGTCATGAATGATAACGTGTTCTAAACTTATGTGAAGTAAGGGGAACATTTCACCTGCTTCACGAAGCGTTTTATGAAACATCGTGTCGCATATCTATCTCTTAACCTTAAACTTAAAAGTGCCGCATAATCAAATGGGGGGGGATAGAATGGAAGAAAGCACGTATTTTTTATTCAGTATCACGCTCTGTATCCTGTGTCCTTTAATAGGTACGTTTTTTTTTTTAATGACTGGCGAAGAAGTACTTATGCTCTTTTTTCACGTGTTTTTGTGAGTAACTGAATTTTTTTTAAACTTGGTATAATTCATCTACAGTACAAAGAAAATTCAAAATTTGTACAGATTGCTTCCAGCCTCGGTATGTCCAAAACTTATACAAACAAACCGTAGGACGAGGAATATATTATTTTCTGCATGCACGAGGGGGTGGGGGTGGGGGGTGGCGGAGTTGGGTAAGAGGCTAACATAGGCTGCCCAGCGTGTCCATACTTTTAACTGGGTCTCAAACAATTTGTTTGGAGTATGTCTTAAAACGGTTTGAGCTTAACCGTTGCTACTGGGGTATATGAGCCCTTAGTTTTAATACTTACTATGAACTCCCATGCGCCCACACCTATACCACCAGCCGCTCCTGACCCTGCCAATCCTATGAAGTGTTCACTACCTATATTACTCACAAACAATGATGCACCAACCTATATCAGGATGGAACAAATGCATGTATNGGGGGGAGGGGGGGTAGCTGGTAGCCCTTAGTTTTAATACTTACGTTAAACTCCCATGCGCCCACACCTATACCACCAGCCGCTCCCGACCCCGCCAATCCTATGAAGTGTTCACTTCCGATATTACTCACAAACAAGGATGCACCAACCTATATCAGGATGGAACAAATACATGTATTATAAATATGTTTACAAACTGACAGTGATTTGATTTTAATATTAACATAAGGGTTACAATCAAAATGTGCGGCAGACTTGACATTTTTTATTTGTTTTTGAATAATTTTTCTTTCTCAATGTCGGCAATGAAAGTTATTTTCTACATAAGTAAGCTGAAAAATAGATAAAAATGCAGAACTGCTGTATATAAATCGATGCACCAAGTACAGAATTTACAAAAGGCAGCAAATTCCAAGATGGCCGCCCAAACACTGTGTAGCGTGTGCTGCAACTGACCGGTAAGAACGTCATGGAGCGTCCAGCAAGGAAGTATCCACTGACTGTCCCTCTTGAAGCTCGACACATGGCCTGAGAATGAGGAATACAAAATGACAAAAATTTTCTTCTCTCTCTTTCTAGCTCATATCAGAATTTCAACAAATTCCATCTCCTGCGTATAAATTTATTATTAGATATGCTCATTTCCTGTTTGATAAAGCTAATAGAATTCAAGGTGGTGACTCAAGTAGATTATACAGGTACAGGTTAAAAAACGGCGTATATGCTTTATGCATTTAGATCTAGTGTATCCATGTTAAAGCTGATCCATTCATACTGTGTAAAATGTATGGTCATAGACACGGTAAAATCCGTTGTTACCCTAAATAATAATAATAATAATAATAATAATAATAATAATAATAATAATAATAAAATAACAATGTTACTTACAAATATTCCCACACAAATGACAGCACAGAAATAAACAGCAACCACCACAAGGTCCCAAGAAGCCAGACCTTCATTGGCTGGATACAGATTATACGGATTGTCGTCTGTCACCCCAGTCGTCATGGTAACGGTATCGGCTGTTGTTGCCATTTTACGGCGGGTTGAAACGTTTTCTTATCTGAAAAAAAAATGACGACAAAGGGAGAGGAAGCACGCACGCTAGTCTTCAAGTCACAGTTAACTGTTAACCTAACGATTGTTAACTTTAGCTTTTCACGTGATATACCAGGTATGCAGAAGACGCAACCCTATGGCCAACATAAATTAGCTGGCGCTAATCAGGGTTGAAATAAATCCGAAGTCGTCTACGGGCTCGGCTTTCGAATTCCAATTACAGGTAGCACTAGGGGTATGTGAACTAGGAGGGGAAGAATCGAACGTCTCATAAATCACTGTTTAAATTGTTTATAAACTGCGACATGTGCTATTTATATCGTCTTAGAATGTATGAACACGCACATGTACGTTTATGCACCACTAACTGAAAAATACCAATAACAACATTACCTGAGTTCACCAGAAAATGCAACCACTGTTGAGTTTTTGTGTGTGAAGTATATATAAACAAGTGCGTGACCCAGATTTTTATTGTTAGATAATCTAAGAGAAAGACGACGCGGTGTGTTTAACAGCTTACCTTTAACGGTATTCTTGAATGTAAATACATATACAAACATTACAGGGCCATATATAGAGAGAAACAAGCCAAGGGCACGAAAATTTCGATCAGTCGTAGCTTTTGATCTCTGCAAGCATGCCCTTCAGGGTGAATATTCAGAACAGAATTGCGTGAAGCACGACATTTTAAAATCAGCGCACAAATTAAAATATAAAAATACAGCAAAATAAAGAGAGATGCGATAAAATCCTGTTAAAGATCTAAGTATGGCACTGTGAAGAATTACATCGAGCTTTAAACTTGGCTGCATTTGGAGAGCAACGTGGTGCAATCTTAATAAAGCGCATAATTTCTAAAAAGTGACGTTTATGGTTTTGAAAATCCCACTTTGTAACCAGAAGACATTCATCTTATACGTACTGCATGTCAAAAAGTTGTCAGTACCTTGCACTATAGTGAGTGGGTAGTATACTACTGCTACTGCATAAACCGGTACTCCCACCTATGACTATGAAATCAACCAAACAATCTTTTTGAAAGTAAATAAAAACATCACGCAGCAGCGGCAGAAAAGGTAGTCCTACATGTAAGTACATGTATGTGACAATCGTATACACCGGGAGCAATTAAGTTCGCAGTAGACTTACATCGTACCTTGGACCTTTGGGGCAGATTTAGAGTTGAGCGACTCTATATACGTGTTGACAGCATCTATACGCGACAAAAAGCAAGGCATGAATAAAAAAATAACTAATGAACCATCAATGTCAAGCACACCTTAGGCCACACTTTATTGCCCCCGTGTCACCGACGATGTATAAACGCTATATACCTGAAGTAGGTTTTATTACATACCTTGTAACCTATATTTATATAGAACCAACAAAAATCATTTACCTGTTGATATAAAAGGGAGACCAAAGAAGGAGAGGCCTACGATTATCCCGGCGAATCTACTCTCAAATAACGACGCAATTTCTCTGATGTGCAAAAAACACCTGTCTTTGAATCTTGCCTACTATTATTTCCTTTAAACGTGTAAATATCAATGCGAATGTGGGTTCCTTTCAATAACTACGGATATGCAAGTACACCCCGAGCTGTAACGGAGACCCGTCTCATTGCACTCCGCTACGCCATATAAACCCACTTACGCTTTATAAAATCTGTATGCATTCATATGTACATACAAACAATTGCTTTGCATATCATAGAATAAAGGACTTTACTTGACCTTTCCTTTCCGCCGCTGCAAGGGACTGCAAAAGTCACCTTGTGGACGTTTCCACACATGTAGGACACGCGTAGTCTGAAATTAGTGCGGCGGGTGATATTGACCTGAACCTGTTTTTTTACCTGTCATTTCAGTGTGTATAAAGAGACATTGATAATGCATGCATGCCGTGAGTTATCATCTCAATTGGGATAACAAAAGTTAAATTTTATGTTCTTTGTTCAATTAAGCCTTTCAAACGTGAGATATATTTTTTATAAACTAAATTTGTTCGGTTTTTATGCCTACATGTATTCCACTATTATGTTATTTTTGAAGTAAAACCGACTAGATTCATATTTGCAATAGTAAAAGTGTGTACCTCGTCCTTACAAATAACAAAAGCAAATATCAAATTTTCCTAACGCCATCTCTTCGAAATGATGAAACTGATGTAAGTTAAAGACATCAATCAAAACTCCATTTAGCGCACATAGCAGATGCTTTGAAATAGCTTTTTGAGATAAATGAATAAATCTTTTTTAGGTGCCTTATCAGTTTGTGTGATAATGGAATCAAACACATGTAGTCACAAAAGTGTGAATTTCAAATTCATTATGTAGTACTGCTGAGGACGTCAGGTGAAGCCAATCGAAATCTTTTCTTATCTTTTACATTTAGATCACTCTTTTTTAGAGAAAAAGATACTGAATCGTAGTGATTGGACCTTTACAAAATGTGTACCAAGACTAAGATGATTTTTTAAAAAAATTTAATTGACTCCCGTACTGGATCTTACATTTTAAAACTGAGGTCACAATGTTTCGACCTTATTACAAGGCTTTCTGAAGGTGAACTGACGCGGAGTTGTCTCCGGTGTCTCTTGCTGACAGTCTTCTCGGGATGTCCCCCATAGCCACAGCCCACAGTTGTGGAAATTGTTGAGGGTAGTTAGTCCAATCCACTCATGAATGACCCATTTCACTCTTCGTCTGAACCAGTCCTCCGTTTGTCGAGGACCATACATGTAAGATCTTTGGTATAGATTGTATTACTAGAGTTATGCGGGTGGTTGAATTCTGCAGAGTCATATGTGTCACCTGGGCTATGGCGTCTGTATTGCTACATTCTGTACCTTACACTGTTTACAAAATTAGGCAACTTTCATTAGGTATTCTGTCCTGCACATAGACTACATTGTATCCGAAGAAGGCGTGATAATTAAGACCGAAGCGACCCCAGCCAAAGCCTATTTTTGCCCCTATGATCAAGTGCCCCCTCTTTCGAATCACTTTCTACATCCTTATAAACTTCATGAATATTGAAACTCCAATTTCTCACTTACCTGAGCACCCAAGAACACCAATTTAATGACACCACTGAGTACTTAAAAACGCTGCCTTCTATTTTTTTAAAGCCAGATTTTATAGTTAATACGGCAAATTAAAATGGCAGCACAAAATTAAGGCCCATTCACTTGTCATCACCTTCGCCAATTTTCGTGATATTATCATATTCAGGGATAGAGTTATACCCCATACCGATTGCTATCTCACCTCAAAATAGAAGTGTTTAATCGACGATAAAAGCTCTGAGAAGCATATGCTTAGCAACGAGAAATGTAAACGCCGATATTTTATATTTTCGAGGGGATTTTTATTGTTTTTAATCAGTACAAAGGTAGATGCATTATTGAATATTCGGTATCTGAATGATCATAAACCCCTGCAGTACCTTAAGGCTTCATTCACATGCAATGTCTATTTTCTAAATTCTATTTTCTATTCGCGGTATGTCTTATGATCACAGTCTGTGCCCTGAATTTCCCGCGGCGTAATTACTGGCAGCGCGAGCCAGTTACTTTAAGTTACTATAAGTAACTGGCTCGCGCTGCCAGTAATTACGCGGCGGGATATTCAGGGCACAGACCGTGATCATAAGATAGCTCGAATAGAAAATAGATTTTTAGAAAATAGACATTCCATGTGAACGAAGCCTTAGTGTCCTTGGTCTGGCGTTGGCGTCCCACTTTTCATGTAAGCCCAAAGAAAAACATCAGGTACATGTACCAGCACGGCTGGTGTGTATGGAGGCGATTCAACAGTACGTCCCCATGGAGCTACGTGTACACAAAGTACATAATATTCAGACTGATATGATCACAAAATAGTTTTAGTAGATGGGGGACTTTTGTAGACTGCCAAGTCCGCTTCATGTACTCTCTGATACGAGGTCCCTCAAATTTCTTAACACCGGAAAATATGTCATGATGCTACAAATTGAAAAAAAATTACTGGCCTATGATTATTTTATCTTGTAGACATTGTTTTCAAGTCTGCTGGCGCTTTTCTTCTTTAGGTGGTCCAAGAGCACGGCGGCAGATCGTCTTTGAGACTCCTTAGCGTTTCCACGGTGTATGCTAGTTTCTCCGGAGTCACAGAATGATTGATGACAAACCTCACCAGGGATTCTTTCTTCGGGATCAAGGGATAACAGAAAACCCATGGGTATACTCCCTTAGAGCACAGGAAATGGTGTACTTTTACCGCCCTGTCCATCTCACCGACAACAAGGGAAACTATGGGGTGGTCGATGTCTACCCTGGCAGGAAAGCCAGCCTTATTAAGCTGTTGTCGAAAAGATTTTGACAGATTTCGCAAGTTTTTCCGTTGTTCCGTTGCCTGAATTGCCATCTCCGTTGCCTTTTTCACTCTTATGGCGCTAGAGATTTGAACGGGATTGCTGTATATGCCTAACGTTGAACCATGGTTGAAGCAATCAGTGACGTCACGGCTGCTGGCGATAACGCCATTTTCACATGCAAGACATTTTATTAAAGATGTCGTCCTCACTTGAACTCCGTCCTCTAAACCAAGATGGGCAACCAGACCTTCGCCGTGCTCCCCTATAACTCCAAGTGCGTGGCTCTCGTCTGCGACAAGGATACAACCGAAAGCGCGGCATAATTCCACCAAGTCAGCCATCGGTGCTTCTTCTCCAGTAGGGCTGTATATCGAGTCCACGGCTACCACTCCGCTCCCTGTTTTTCTTATCAATGATCGGAGGTGGTCCAGGTCATTGTGTTGAAACACCTGACATCGCCCTGCGGCACCAGCAACAGTCACCCCATGTTGCAGTGTCGCATGGGCAAAGCGATCCACGTAGATCGGTCGATGGTTTCCCTTGAGCAATATCTCTAAGGCTCCAATGTTTGCTGCTGTGCAGGAATAGGTGAGGACAGCACTTTCGCTCTTCATCCACCGCGCCAGAGCCTTTTCTGTATCCTTTACGGGAGAGTCGAAAGGGTGTGAGACCAGGGAGGAACAGATGCGATCTATGCCATGACGGAGAATGGCATCGGCGTGCACCCGGTTAAGCTCTTCGTTTTGACCAAGACCAAGATAGTCGCAAGAATAAAGATCCACGTAATTCTTGGATTTGTTTAATGTTTCAAACGGTGAAAATTCCTTCTTGTTTTTAGCGGCTAGTTTTTGGACATGTAGCCCCGGTAACTGACCTCCTTTCCATCTCTTTATTGCTGTAGTAAGAGGTGTCCGGTTTGCGTGAAACATGTGGAATAGGGAACGAAGAGCTGAGATGGTCTTCATGGCAATCAGCAGTGCATTCCTGATTCGTGAAATAAATGGATCAAAAATTAATATAATTTCAGAATGTATCTGTAAGTAATTAAATAAACGGACAAACAAATAAGAAAATATTGACAGGCGAAAAGACAGATTTACAGATAAAGATAATATCAAAATGTTGGCATTGCCGATGTTCAGCTTTGCAGATTTTCATTCTTATTAATATAACTTGAACACTGGATGTGGGGGTCCTCCCTTTACTTGTGGTGAACCTCCCTTTACTTATCCCGGACCCCACATAACATAACATATCATAAAACCCCAGGGGTTGGGCTCAATGGGCTCACATCTTTGGATAACGGGATCTGTATAATTGCTACGGAGATTCCGAGGTTCCATGTCTTAAATTCTGCACACGGAAAAAGAATGAAACGACTTCAACCGAATATATTTTGCCAGACTAAAAGTTACATGGTACAAGCATGAAATCTCTCTTTCTCTCTCAATCTCCTCTCTCCTTCTAGATTTAAGTTCACCGAGTTTATGCTAAACTTTATCAATTAAACTGTCCATCAGATAACTTATAAACCGATTGGTTACTTCAGACACAAGTCCACCCCCTCATGGTGGTCACCCCCAAAAACTCCATGTATTCAAACTCTAACCGATTGCTGGCTTCGAAACAAAGGACATTAAAATTTGAACTGCAAGGTGTAAAGTACATGTATTATCTGGAGCTACTTTACAACATGGCTTCCCATGTGTGAATTTAATCAAACAATGGCTTTCTCTGATTGAATTAATACTACCACTTCATGTATGAAAGTTTTAAAAGTACTTATTACATTTTGTCTATACTGTGGTTCCTGGCATGGAGAGCACTGAACAAAACACTGGTGAAAGAACTCCAAAGAAGAATTAATGCAGGATGGGCAGCATTTACGAAGCACAAGAACATAATCAAGAGTAACCTCCTTACTGCATGAAAAGGAAAGTATTCAATGCATGTGTATTGCCAGCTATCACTTATGGTTCAGAGATATAGACAATGAATTCCATCCACGGATAGAGAAAGATAGAAAGAAGTGTGGTGAACATCAGGCTAAGAGATATTTTATCTTACGTCATGCGTATCAAAAGGTTGTTATTACCGTGCATTATAGTGAGTGGGTAGTATACAACTGCTACTGCATAAACCGGTACTCCCACCTATGGTTATAAAAGCAACCAAACAATCCATTTGAATGAAAATAAATGTATATAAAAGCAGCAACAAATGAGGTACACTGTAGTCGTACATGTAAATATGTGACAATCGTATACACCCAGAGCAAATAAGTCAAAAGTAGACTTACCTTGCAGCAGATTTAGGAGTAGATTTAGAGTTGAGCGAGGTACGTTTTGCCAGTATCTTTACGCGACATAAACTGATGCCTTAATAATGATAAAAATACTAATAAACCGTCAACTTTCCAACACACCTTAAGTCACACTATATAGCACCTGACGATGAATAAGCTATTTTTACCTAAGGTAAGTTCTATTGCATCTGGCTTGGCATACTAAGTATATTTGTAAAACCGACAAAATGTCATCGACTGATAATATAAAAGGGAGACCAAATCGGGAGAGGCCTGTGATTAAATTCTTTTTTTTTTTCAAATCAAGATGTAATTTTTCTTATGTGCAAAAGCACATTTACATTCCCGCGTTGTGAGGGGGACCCGTCTCCCCCTCCTACATGTAAACCCAATTACGTTTTACAAAATCTATATACGTTCTATGTATATGTACAAACAATTGTTATTACAGAGAAAAATACCCCCCCCCCCTCCCCGTTTAATGATTAATTGTTGTAGTGAAGAGCCTTTCATTTTTTCTGGTTTCCTGCCTTAAAAAGTGTCCGTTTGTACCGGAAACACGCAGAGATGGCCGCCAATATATTAATTTGTCATCTGTAAATACAAAAACTTATTTCAAAGTTACAGAACTTGACAATCGACTACTGCAGTAGTTACAGTGAGATCCTATTCAGACCCTATTTTGTACAATTCAGTCATTGGCGAGTGCCTTCCACAACAATACACCCGATAATAGGATATAATAAGACCATGTCTATTACAAAATCAACTTTAGTCAAGAGGAAGTGAAACAGTTTATCGGTGTAAGTCAATAACACGTCTATGTGCAAGGGTCCACACGCTGGCAGCGCATGCGTTATTAGCAGGAAAAATCCCAATTCCAGATACAGCTCAACTTCAGCTGACACCAGCGCGTTCCAAGTTTGCAACAGTGGTGATACGGTACGTTATTGGAGCACTGGTGGTAACATTGTTCATCGGTACTGTCAGGAAGGAGCTGACCGTTGCCACATGTTACAGTAATAGCAACTAAAACGGTAAAGTTTTAGAAATATAGTCACGTTGATAAAGAGATTACAGCTTGTTTATATTAATCATAGTGATTTTATTAAATGACAACTTTCATACCAACTCCTCCGTTTTCAGTAAAATCAGAGCTTAGGTGCTCATTTGAGCATTTTGAGGCACATTAAAATGTTGCATAAAACCACATACCTGTAGTAATAGGAGCGTCGCTTAGGACAAGCAACTTACAGTCATCTTCTGATACTGCTACCGCAATAATTCTATGGACATTACTGGCTCCGAACCGGTAAATGGAACAACTTTGCTCTTTCTTACAATATTGACCGGCGTTCCCCAGGGGCGTAACCAGACCTTTAAAAATTGTACGCACAGATTTTTAAAATTCCCAGCAAAATGTAGAGTAACGCAAGAGATGAAGGAAAGCGTAATTACACCATATGTACCACACATCGCAGCTTAATTACCATTAATAATAAAATCATCATTTAGTCAGAAATATTCTCGCAATTAAAAAAGTTTCAATATTCTCATTACCCAGAACGGTATATTTATTTAAAAGGAGGCTAGCTTCGCATATGTGGAACCCCCTTCGAATTATCCTGGATCCACCTCTGAGTTGAACTAAGGCTCTATTCCCATAGATTTTAGATCGATCTATCCCCGCGGGGAGTCTCACTAGATTACTTTCAGATAATCCGACTTAAATGTCCGTCCCGCTTACTACAAGCTGCAAGGGGATAATTAACTTTCGTGTCCGCCCGGCTGACAGCTATTTAGCGTGAACCCCCAGGGAGTTAGGTCGATCTAAAGTAGGTCGATCTAATCTATGGAAATGGGGTGTAACATACGGTTTCATTAACCTTACATGTGGATGCATGGCTCCCAAAAACAACCAATTGTACGACACGACAGAGCTCTGATACATCTAAGTTTAATTATTTGTTTGTAAAAATTGCCCATGTCACCCTGTTAATTTGGAGGGGTAAGCTGGGTCAAGTCCGTGTCAAAATTCTTTGAAGCTTTGCAGGAAAAATTCTTCCTTTGTTTCTCTAGCTCCTTCTTAAACCTGGTGTCCAGATTTTATCTAGTGCCCCCAGGGTTGCGGGAGCTGTTCTTTGAGAATAACACTCAGGCAGATTTTTACCTGAGATAAATATCGCCAGCTAGAATATTCTCAAGAAAGAGGGTACAGAAGAGTTGAGGGCCACTGAACCCTCCAATTAAGAGGTAAAGGAAGTTTCAGTTAGATGGACGATTAAGATAGGACTTGTTAAGGTTACAGGCTTGTTTACCTCAGTTTGCAAGACGGGGGGGGTCAGAAAAATTGTGCCTATACAATCATGGACATAATAAGAGAAGGCTTTCCTATTTAGGTCCAAGATACAATTGAAACAGAGGATTTGTACATACAGGTGACTTTAATAAGCAGAGGATTTTCTTTTATATTCCATGAAAAATACACTAAATTTATATAAAATAATATCATGGTTGGCCAAAAAATTGTACGCACAGTGCATCCGTGCGTATGCCTAGTTACGCCCATGTTCCCGACCAACATTTGCAAGCTTAACGCACACTCCTCAACAGATTTCGTCGAAAAGCTCCCTAAACTGTCGAAGGCGAGAGGTTAACTGTTTTTTGGCATCCGTAGATAGTGATGAACGATGAACCTAGCTGCCAATGCCGTCTGACCGGCCTCAATCCCAAGCAGAAAGCCGAAAAAGAAGCCTAGAAACAATATATTGTGTACTATAGATTTTTGTTTTTACGTGCTGTTATAAATTTTCCTAATTTAGATCGACAGAATGTGAGTGCTGAAGTAAAGTTTCTTCCAAATAACCTTTCACCCTTAGTTAAGCCAAACGTATTAAGTTTTGCTCATGTCCAACTAGTAATAAATTTAGTATTGCTGTAGATTTGTGTGTGCTATAGAGTATTTAATGAATCCTGTAGTGAGTAGTATAACGGGGCTTTTAACAAAAGTCTCGTCTCCGTGCCATAAAGACCAATAAAAACTAACCTTACCCCAAAACATAGCTGGTCCAAAACCGCGCAATCCTGTTAAAAGATGGAATCGAAGTGACATATATGTGTCGACAGGTGAAACAACCAGTGTGGTTTTTGTGTCATGTAATCATGTCTCATCTTGTGATGGTATTCTGTATTACCAAAGTTTTGTATTGCCAAGTACATACCTGATATTTTTTACAGATATGCCATTACTAATAACAATTAATGTTGGAGGAAACGAGCTCAAAAAGCCATTCCACTCTTAGGAAAAGAGACGTGGCGTTACAGCACGCATATTATAACACTTAGAGAGGAGTGCAAATTCGTGGCCAGGATACTTGATCGAGAGTACTAAAAATGAAAAACGATTGCACTGGGGACACTTAGGTAATAATATCAGCAATATGACACTCGTCAATTCGTTCGTGATTGCCATGTTAATGCTAAACATTCACTGGTGGGTCTTTGACCATGCGATAATTCCCTGGAAACCGACATACTTTCAGGAATAGTTTTTCTTATTAATTGTGTGGACAGAGAGCCCTGGGAATGAACGGGTGAAGTTACTTTTATTTTCATTGCCGATCGAGATACATTTTGTGAATAAAAAAGGCACACTTTCCCACCCCAAAAGTGAAAATTATAAGTCACGTCAGTGACGAACACGGCTTGTGTTACTTGTGCATAGTACCCACTTGCTCCATTATTTTCTTTGCTTTATACTATATTGTTGTATCCTCTGCTTTATACTAAAGTATAGTAACCTCCAATATGGGAAAAAAATCAATTGGAAATAAATCGAAAAAATTCACAATGATAGCCAAAAAGAGCAAGGCCCACGTTCTGCTAGACGTGGCATTTATCGAATGCAGTTGCTGAACAATAATTTTCCTTACTTGCTACGAATCGTTTCATTGCGTTAGATGTGCCTGGAGATTGAATGGAAAGACAAATCGTTCTCAACCAAGCTGGAGCTCTCTGGTATTTAATCTACAAGTTTACAGAGTATAGCTAGACGGCCCAGTTTGATACCCTGCATTTAAAATGAATAAACATGACGACTGTAAATGTTCTCATAACCAGACGATATTTTAAAAAAGTCACTACCAAGCAAGCGTCAACAGATAACCGATGCCAATCTTGTCAGTCATTTAACGGCATGCCACTATATTAAGTAGGACTTGACTGGAGTTTATCGCTATAAATACTATAGTTAAGAGAATCAGTTAGACGGAAAGCATGCTTATTTGTTGCTCCGTTTGCGTTTTAACGAGGCTTACTGTAGAAAATATCCCAGATAACTTCTTGGTGAACTCAAACGACAATCAGCACGCGGATGCCTGTTCAAAACACCCGCACTACATGTAACGTAAACCGGAATTTGTCTAAGTGACGTCACAGACCGACCATATCACAACAGCTCGCCTTACAATTGTTATGATTATCTCTTATGAATCAATCGATTTTCTTGAAGCATCAGTATGTATTTTTTTCTGGTTTAAGTTTGCACGCCTTTTTAAGATGTTGCGAAAAAATTGGGGTTAAGAGGTTGCCAGTCGGCATTTCCTCGTTCTTCACAGACCAGCTGCATGCCACTTTAAATCTCTGCTGAACTTTAAAATTGATAAGGAAGGGTCAGGTAATTATGAAAGAAAAAAATTGTAGGTTTAAGGTGCCCAGCTACGAGGAAATGTTTTATATCTGTGCTTTTCTTCGTGTACAAATACATGTAGATACATGCACACCTTCTTGGGTGAGGGCCGCCGTTTTTATTTACCTCCATGACCCTACACAACATTAAATAACACTTATTAATATAAACCCCCAGAGGCTGGGCACTGTGGGCTTTCAACCTCCAATGATTGGATTAATAATATGAATTTAAAAATATTAATTACAAATTATTTCCCGATTCTGTGGCCCCTGACAGCTACTTATGCATCCTAAATTCCTGTATGTGTGAATTTTATCAAATATGCATGCAAAATAATTAAGACAAAGACCAAAATCTTTCAACCTCAAATGATTGAATTCATAATATGAATTGAAAAAATATTAATTACAAATTCTTTCCCAATTCTGTGGTCCCTGATACAGGTGAAGGAACTTAAAGGCCCAGGCTGTAAGTCATACAAATAAAATAATAATCAAGTCATTAAATGTGCATAGGAGAAAGTCCTTATTTGTACTAATAGATCATAATGTTAGAGAGCAGTCCTATCTCAATTGATAACATTAAGGAGGTATGCGTAATTGCAGATGTTTATAAGCTGAGTGACTCTAATTTATACATGTATAATTTAAGTGATGATAATGAAGTTACGATAATGATCACGCTGTTAGGAAAATGATCATATCCAACAATGGCAAAAATGCATTAATGATATTTGTTATTTCTACCACTGCTGTCTCCCCAAGATATGATTTTACACGAGGAAATTATATTCATTTCTGGTATGATCAAACTGGGCCTTATGAAAAAAAGACAACGCAGTTTAGAGAACTTTTGATAGATTACATACGGAGTATGGTCCCATCTTTGCAAAATGTTAATACATTTATTTATTTATAAATTCATACATGTTGTTGAGTTTTGCCCCGTTTTTGTTGAAAGTAATCCTTTCCACTTAATTACATTTGATATAATACACGATTTACTTGGAATAAATAACCCCCTGCTTGATAAAAAGTACATCTAGATATGTAAAGATATCCGTGTCCCTTTTTTGATTCACAAATCTTACAATTTAAAAAAGACACCGTGTATTCCCTCAAATTAAATAGAACAGTCACTCCAATCCCAACAGACTGGATTACAGAGAAATTGCACGAGGGATGACAATCCAATGTTTCCCTCCTGGTGCGCTGTTGAATGTAAGAACTCAAGCATACCTCTGAGACAGTAGTTTATAGGTCCAGTTTGCATGCTATTCAGCAGATAACTTATCTAAGCCTTTATTTACTCGGGAAAAATATTCAAAATGCTTCTTCTGAGGCTCTTTTCTGTTAATGCTTGATTGGGTTTTGCGCTACTATGTTAAAAGCTCAATGTTTTGTAAAAAGAGCGTGCGCGTACGCGTATACNAAATTTGATGTTAATAAAATGATACCAGGAGCATATCATTCCACAGTCATTTATCTCCCCCATAGTATTGGCTCAGTAGGGGTGACACTTCTTTTGTCCAGTGTGTGTACGTGGGTGTGAGGATGTGGAAGCGCGTGTGTTAATTTGCTTGCTTGCTCATACTCGCAAGTATGCATTGACATTTGGATTGTGAATATATTATTTATTCATCAGCATGTCCGTATACGTCTGCACGGCTTGGTAGGAGGAGTCGAGAATCACATAAATTCTGACTCCTTAAAACACGATAATTACGCGGTTACAGATTCATTTTAAGATACACTTAGGGGACCGCACTCTCACCGTTACAAATTGAGAATAATTACGCGTACCGCGTGAGCGCCGCAGTCATATCTGTAGTATCATCTTTCACGCCTAGCTGGTTGGGCAATGGTCTACACAAGGGTAATCTCCCGTATATCTTTATGCTCATAGCGACATACAGATACTTCGGGGTAGAGAGACAAACCATACCACCTCCCCATAGTGAATATAACTGCGGTCCACAAACAACAGCTGTACATACTGTATAATGGCAGTGGTCGAAGGATTTCGGATTATTACATTATTGCTATTTATCTGTTCTGCCGAATATGGATATACTGCCTTTGGACAAAGTAAGTGTGTGTTTTGTTTGATATTAGAATTACAACATATGCTAATATTGGACGTCTTCGCCGNACGTGGGTGTGAGGATGTGGAAGCGCGTGTGTTAATTTGCTTGCTTGCTCATACTCGCAAGTATGCATTGACATTTGGATTGTGAATATATTATTTATTCATCAGCATGTCCGTATACGTCTGCACGGCTTGGTAGGAGGAGTCGAGAATCACATAAATTCTGACTCCTTAAAACACGATAATTACGCGGTTACAGATTCATTTTAAGATACACTTAGGGGACCGCACTCTCACCGTTACAAATTGAGAATAATTACGCGTACCGCGTGAGCGCTGCAGTCATATCTGTAGTATCATCTTTCACGCCTAGCTGGTTGGGCAATGGTCTACACAAGGGTAATCTCCCGTATATCTTTATGCTCATAGCGACATACAGATACTTCGGGGTAGAGAGACAAACCATACCACCTCCCCATAGTGAATATAACTGCGGTCCACAAACAACAGCTGTACATACTGTATAATGGCAGTGGTCGAAGGATTTCGGATTATTACATTATTGCTATTTATCTGTTCTGCCGAATATGGATATACTGCCTTTGGACAAAGTAAGTGTGTGTTTTGTCTGAAATTAGAATTACAACACATGCTAATATTGGACGTCTTCGCCGTTCGGTATAGTGATCAGGCGCTGGTTTCTTTTTTAATTTTCAACTACTTTTGAACAGTATAAGGAAATTAGTTGTGAATAGTTAGTTTGTTAGTTAAATTCCACGTTTTTTTCCTCAATAATAAAATAAGGAACACAGACAAGGACATTTTAATTAAAAAGAAAGATCTCCTGAATGGTATTTAGTCAACTTTTTAAAATAATGTTGTCTGGGAATTGATGTCGTTTACGACATTCGAATGATTTTAATCAAAATTGTAACACCAGCGAGTGACATGTTTCAAAATTAGGACTAAAAAGAAATGAATTTAGCTTTTTGTTTATCCGTTAACTGCTCCGCCTATTGATACACATACAAAGTAATAGAAGTTGTTTCCATCTGGGCTCTAGCCGGATCTGTCGGTATCTTATGATGGAAATCCAAGATAAAATTAATTACCTTAATTCGACCACACATTGCTGATATTTACTAACCGAAACCTAAAAGAAAATATCAATCATAGTTGTTTATATTGTTCTGTTCATTTTTTCCATATACATATTTTGAATTATATATCATGTCTTATTTTCAACCACACCTTGGTCTGATGTCGTGTTAATGCCTGAGGGTAAATGAAAGGATTTTAACTCGCTCTAGTACAAAACATGTACAGTAAGAATATATACCGATCTTGGTTGTGACCCATAAAACATACGATGTTCATTGACAATTTTCTGGTTATCAACTTCGGTTGCTTACTCTTAATTACTTTCGAGATTCATTAAATGATTTTATCAGTTTTCGCTTAAGTCTGTTCTGTTTTTGGTTGTACGTGTAACAAAAAGACAAGCAGGCCCATGGTGATTTCTTACATTTTAAAGATTGCTTCGGCAATCATCGTAATACTGCACATGAACTGGCTGGAGACCCATGTATGCATATGTGTGGACACAAACTGAACTCGTGAAAATCAAATTCCCTTGATTTTTGTATGAATGAATAATAAAATACGGAACACAGAAAAGGACATTTTTGATTTAAAAAAATTCCGAAAGGGTATTTTGTCAACTTTTAAAAATAATGTCGTTTGGAAATTGATTCCGTGTGCGATATTCGAATGATGAAATATCTTACTTGTTGTGCAATGTCCTTTGACAATAAGACGTTTTAATGAACACGAATTGTGCAGTTCGATTGTATGTTTACTAGTATAATGTGCATCATGTACAAGTAGGTGATGAGCTTCAGGATAACCGATTCCAGGAATTAGCTGTAACACCCACAGATAACAACACTCTACGTCTTCAATATTTATATTCATTATTCACTTTATAAGATATAATCGCGTATGGTCCTCTATTTACCTTGGAACATCCATCTTGATTTACGACATATGGTAGATGTTGTTTTATAGACCGTGCTTGTGAATATTTGTTAACTTTTATGATATTATCTTATGGTCCTACTAATACCATAGGCTACGGTCAATAACTAGTTCAGTAGCTTTCCTGGTGACGCAAATTAATTTTTGACCTTTGGGACCAATTTGGGATAATTTTCACCCCGAACTGCTACATTCCTATTAAGCATTTTACAGTTTACCAATACGTCCCTTCCCGAGTGCTGTGGTTGTATTTTATGGATATGTTTTCGTAATTTTGTTGGAAAAATATTGGTAAGGTCACATTTTCAGAGACTGACCATTTTTAAAAGCAACATTTAAAGAGAGTGACCTTTTGATATTGCACTTACTTACACCCTGCATGGTACCGGGTACTCTATATAACTGAGGTGATGTATTTGACACCACTTATATGTATACAATGCATTTTTAAAGAAGTCACCGGCTCTTAATTGAATTCTAAGATATGTCATGGTGAAATAAGCCTTAAATCTTTGTATGGACGAGTATAACGCTTCTTAACAGTCACACATGTGTCATATATTCTGTACAACCCGAGTAACTTTGGTCAGTCTTGATCGCATTGGCTGTATGGCAACTTGTGTGTGTGTGTGTGTGTGTGTGTGTGTGTCGCGTGTGTGTTCGCGCGCGGTACTGGCATACATTATTTATACGAATTTAACTCTCTCTCTCTCTCTCTCTCTCTCTCTCTCTCTCGGTGTGTGTGTGTGTGTGTGTGTGTGTGTGTTTGTATAAAATTACTGTGTGTGCATGTATGTTTGCAAGCGCGTGGGTACCGGATGAGTGCACATGTGAATGAATGCATGTGTGTGCATTCGTTGGCGTGCAAGTGCGAAGCACATATTTCATGCTTCAACTGTCTAACAGCAATTTCTTAAAATCTGCATACTCAGGACACGTCTCTGTGTCAAAGCCACTGAAAAAAAGAACGAGTAGAAAATAAGGAAATGCTTCCTGGTGAACGTACAAGGAGCCACTTAAGTAAAAATGTCATAAATATTTGAATTACATACCGGTACATACACACATGCCTCTGTAAGCAGACTCTTTTTAATTAATTGCGGTTTACTTAGTCATTTAATGTCACAGAATGATAAATGCACTGCCAGGACAACTTGTAGTATTTTCTCCAATGAGAGACAAAGAGAGAATAACATATGCATTTTAAACGGCTGTTTTGCATTTTAAAACATTATTCATTTGAACAATTAGGAAATGTATGGAACTGGTTGATAAAGCCGAAAAAAGGAAAAACGTGTCTGTTTTTGCTTAGATACACTGTAGAAGGAAGAAGACGCTCTATAATGCCGCTATATGCACTACATTTCAGACACGATACTAGAGTTACAACAGGTCATGGATGAAATTCAGTTCGTCCGAGCATGGGACAAAGTATGACAAAAGTCACGTTCAAGGCTTACTCATGGACTGACCCCGTCACACGGTCACACCGGTCAGTGACGGGCCATTTTTAAATCATGTTTGGTTTTCAAAAACCTACGTGAATTTCCTGTATATTGCAGTTTATCGATCTAATTTTTGACAGAATGAACAAAACGGTAAATGAAGCAGGTACATGTACCTGTCTCTTTACATGTTTTCGAATCAGCGTCTAAAGAAGATTTAAAAAGTTCCATCTTACTAAACGAATTTTGACTATCCTTTGTTTGGAATTTTAAGGATTATTTAAGAAAGTTTAATATTATTTCAGCAAATAAAATGACGATTTTGCATTTTATCAAAAGAACCGAATTGAAACTAATGGTTCTAATGCCACGTAATTCGCCCGATTGTGTTTATTGTGAAAATAAAAGTTGAAATATCAAAGCAACACATGTACAATGGATATCAACCATTTACCATCACTAGTGAAATTGGTCAGCCTCTTTCCCCATTACGAGAATGACTCAAAAATTTTATGTAGGAAACGGGCTTACGTAGCTTTCTTTTTTCAACATTTTTTGTAAAAGGTATGTCGTGGGTGTAAAGGAAATAACTGTTCAAGACAGTACAAACAATCCGTATAAAAGGTCTTAAGTGTATTGTAATAGATTTAAATTTTTTGAATGTTCAAGGCGAGCATTTTGACCCCAGTATGTCACGCCTACAGAACGAGTCATAGTTACCAGTGCTGGTATGTATTTATGAATACGATAAACAAACGATACACCGGTAGATACACGTTGTGATTTATGACCCGAAGAATGTCGTAATACAATCAAATGTGTGACGAAAATATCTACATAGGTAAGGTACCATACGTAACGCCACAGAGTGGAACATTATATCGTCACGGTCTTTTATGGAGTGACTAATAATTTTAAAATCAGAATATGGCCCATGTATTAGTCACTGCATATGGAGGTGATGTTACGGAATTATTGTGGACAGAGTGTATAAATGATAACTGATGCAACTGAATAATTGTTTGGTATAATGTACAGTATGCTTCTCTCCCTTGGACAGAAATAAAATGGCCCACCGAATGCAAGATGTTTGGAATATATATTCTACCACGTCTTTTCAGCCCATGATGCAGTCAATGAAAATACGCTGCAGATCTTAAAATTCCTTATAATAAATGTTAAAAGAACCCCATGTTACGGCTGTTTCTTTTCTAATTTTTGGATTGTAGAGAATACGGTGCCTTCATGTGACTATGATGCATGATGTCACTATGATATTTGATCGAATCGTTTCTTACAAATTCCAAATGCTGATAAGAATCAAGACATATATTAACAAAATGTTTGTTTTTTTCCAGAGCTGCATAAATCAAGGCGTATAAGGTCGTTGCCAGATGGGACACCAGATGTCAAAGACCAGTACTTATTGATAGGCAAAAAGGGAGTCAAGGAAAGTCAAGGTGTGCTATTTACAAATATGTCTACCTTTAAGGTTTTAATAAGTGTATAGCACTTTATTTGTCTCTGTTTTGCCTTTAAAGTTATACCAGCTGTAATTAAGTGTATACTATCCATTCAAACGTTTCTGACACGACAGGTAGACAAACACTTCGTTGGAATTATATAAAAGGCACACTTTGCGAGATTAGTTATGATATATATGACACATTACTCTTCTTTAAGGTCTTCTATTTTTTGACAAACGAATTATAATAATTCACCCTCTAACTAAAAAAGAGTTAGTCGGATCGGTAATGGGAACTGATACGCAATGTGTCTATTGGATCACAAGTACTGAAACACGTTAATTTATCCTTAAAGGTAGGATATCGGAAAGTAAAGTCTGACACAAATACTGAAACGTTCGATCCTATATATATTGAGACATAGCTGCAAAAATAACTAAAAAACATTAAATGTTGAACAATATTTTGAATTAAAACATCATTGCAGTGGGTGGTCTTTTAACATGGACCAGAACTGTTGGCTATACTTTGGACACTACTGATATGCACACATCCTACATCGGGGACCGTTTGTACTGCAGTATGAGGATGAACGAAAGGTTGGTGTCCTTTAAAAATTGGACATTAATCAATTGAGTGGTTTTCATTACAAATTATGGTTACTATCATTATTATGGTTTTATTTATTCATGGAATTGATTATTCCTTATTGTGCTTTAATTGAGAATTTGTCTTAGAATAGTTTAGAAATAATGCAAAAGTGACCAAAATTGCTTTTTTTTAATCTTTATGTGCATATTTAATACCCTAGAGCAACGCCATCACTATAATCGATCTTATCAAAAACCTCTATTTTAGAATAAAAAAAGTAATTTTGGTTTTTACAAAGACGTATTTTCATAATGGCGCTGACTGGACAGCCTCTCTCATTTCATTAATTTACCGTTATAATACGCCACAATTTGTGAGAAAATGAAATGGTAGGCCTACTTCTTTGTATCTTAGCAGGACGATGCAAAAGCTAAAACTGTATAGAGAAGGCGTATGTTATTATTGGCGCTTGTAACTATTTGATTTTCTGTTAATCATTCTTAACAACTGTGCGTTATAATGTAATTGCAATTTTATTATTTATAATTTTTCTGACTTTTTGTACAGGACGAGGCGAATGCTAAAACTAATGCATTCAGTAATAGAAGACGTAGAGCCAGACCAAGTGGTATACGTATCTCAAACATGTGATTCACCCATGAGTTTGTCTTTCTCTAACTGGGTATGTATACCGTAAATTATCTAAAAAAATCAATTAAACACATATTTTCAGAATTTTAACCCCTAAATTAAATACTCTGCCAATTGTTATAATCAACTTGTTACCCTAACCCACTGAACTCAACATATTGCAGTTCCGTAACATAAATAAAAGTATTTACATGGTAGGTATGCCCTGTCTTTTTAAAATTAAATATATGTAGCACGTACATGGCTCCATGCCTCCGTTATACATGTATGCTTCTTTTTGCATTCTGACACGACAAGCGAAGCGAGACCGAGAACATTACTGTGTTCCCCTTAATTATGACCCTGGCTCCCTCACCGTCTTTGTTTCCACCTAATTGTATTTGATGTATTTTAAAATAACCAAATATATAATACTATCACATCTTTGTTCTCAGGGTATAGATAGAGTTGACCAGAGAGAAGCAATTACTGAGAGCCGGGGACAGTTCGCAGCCGAAGGTAGGATATGCGTTCTTTCCTAAAATAACGAAACAACCACATTATTGCAACTTTTATTTTATCAGATTCAAGGAAAAACGTATCTAATTTAAACTGATTTAGAGATGTTAATGCAATACTCAGAACCGTACCAGTAACCGACAGGTTAGCAGACCACGCAAGGATATAAACTGATCCGTATAATTGCTCGCAAAAGCCTTTTTCCTATCAAGGAAGTATAAAATCACGAACGTAGATACAAGCAGTAACTGCCAAGGAAATGTATCCCAAAGTTTGTATAGGCATACCACGCACCTTTAACCTTCATTTGAAGAAGAAAGAAACAAAATACTGGAAATGTTAACAGTTTTCCTTTTGCATAGCTTGTACTGATCAATATTTTTTCTCTTATAAGGACATGGCGGGGATGACGTCCATATATATATGATGGATACGTAAGTACAAAACACCAGTTTAAGTCAGAATTACGGGCATGAAACCGCAATGAGAATTGTTTATTCAAACCCCGTTTAGGCTGTAGCTGTATTTTCAAGTAGTTTTCTTCTAAACTCTCACTAAGAATGATATTTATACAGTATAAACGCTTAGGTAAAAGGTCCAGCGTTTTTATAGTGTATTGTAACGTATTTTATGCTGCCTTTTTGAGGCATGTGGCAAAGTAGGGAGATGACTAACAGTACCGGGTACCTCTGCAAAAGACGATATTAACGCGGAATGCATGCAATCGTTTACTTGACTGAAGTCAGTTGAAGATTAATTTTTCTTATAAAAGAGTGTTATTTTGAATTGTGAAGTTAATAAAGTGCTGGCCATACAATAAGACATACCAAGGGCCATACTCGGACAAATAATCGTTAATTGCATAACCTAATCGTTTTCAAAATAGCCAAAGCGTCCGTCTCCGAGAAATATTGCTTGAACGTTCTTGCCAAAACCCTACTGAATGTCGTATATTTCAGCTATGGTTAGATATATCAATGCTGTAACACTGAATCATAACATATACTCATCAGCAGCAGCCAAAAGCCATGGTTTATAAAATATAAATTATATCATAAAAACACTTTATTGATTAGACACTTTTGATTGTGTGATTTATTATCATTTTACGTGTCTTTTTTAGAGGAATAAGGATGACTATTAACGAGCTAAGAGGGAGAGTACAGAGGGTAAGAAAATACTTTTTATGTATATAAAAGGAAAAGCAGGGGTGTCAAAATAAAATTGCCATTGTGATCGAGGACATTTAAGACCGATGTCGCATTTGTCAATGATTGGCGCACCTACCGCAATTGTGGTTGTGTTGGTAGTTTATTTTGCAAATCACCAGTATGTCATTTTAAGTTCAACAACAGATAATTAAATAGCACTATATATACCAAAACATAGATCGATATGTTTTCAAAAAAAGTTAAAATTGCTGAAACTAATGTAACACACCCTTATAAACTCATTCACACCTTCCCAACATATTGAAGACAATAAATTGATCACCATTCAAACAGAGCTTTGAGATAGAAAATGCTGTCCGTCTTTTCATAGGTGACAACGGGATTATTTGCTACAGAAGAGGACAACAACGGTCATGGTTCTTGGACTGCAGGTGAGATAATTGTGTCAATAATATCAGTTATACACAGGCAGAACGTGTCTACTGACAAATATATACCTCGCCGCAAAAAGTAACAAGAAAATACAGGCAACTCACCACAATTTCGAAACGCCAAACCCATGGCTATATTCAGAACATGTTTCTCCTTCCCTGTTTCAGTAATTGCCGCCGGTACCGTTCACGGGATCGCCAAGAGGGCCACGGTGTTCTCGGTAAAGGTGCTAGATGGACGACTAGGAGTCGGGACCGTTAGGTAGGCGAACGTTTTAAAGCACGAAAAGAGAGTTCTGTGGGATTTGCTGAGCACTGAGCTCTCACCTTTCTCGCCAAGGTACATGTATATACCCCAGCCGTCTAAAACATTTTGAATCTGTGTCCAAGATATAATTTGGTTTGTTATTACAATGTAGACTACAGTAGCTTAAACCACAACGATAAAGATAATTGTTCATTGAACCAGAAATCGTAGATGCAAAGATGGGTTTTGTATCGAGTGTCATCAGTTTTTATCCCGTTGGAAGGCTCTATATTGCCTGTCGTATAATATTGCCTGTTATATATTTTACAGTGGCGTGGTGGCGGCAATGGACGTGGTGATTTCTCACGCCCGGAGCAGCGGTAAAACAAGAAAGAGTGTAATCAAGTGAGTGGCAGCTACATGATCTCTCTCTTCTTTCTTTCTTTTTTTTTTGTAGCCATTTTCATAATGACAGAGGAACTAATGACGATCAAAAAGTTGGCGATAGCCGTTAAAAGTACACACTATGTGTCATGAAGTTACTTATAGTTCATAATACAACGGTATATACCACTTCTACGGTATATAAGAAGGGTCCAGTTCTAGTTCATATTACAAAAATAAAGATAATGTGCGTAAAATATTCTGATTTTCACTATACTATTGGCGGCCTTTCTCTTCAGATTTGCATGAAGAATAATGACACTATTGAGGGCAATTTTTGTTTTGATAAATATTTCTGTTTCTTTCCTCCAGTATGTCGCTGAGTGGTTCCTTCAGCAACGCGTTGAACACAGCCACTAATGATGCCTCGGAAGCGGTAGGTCATGTTCTCTGTACTTAAAACAACAAAGAAGGCGAATTTTTGGGTGATTTACAATGTCTAGTACATGTACCGTATGTGTCCTTTTCAGAGTTCACTTTCAAGAAAATCACTATACAAGCAGCTATGTTTTAAGAACTTTATACTTTAGAAGGAAGGCACTGTTAGTCGGTGACTGTTTGTATTATCTGAGAAAATTTTTAAAGTAAGAATGTAAAAAAGGAAAAATTGTTCTGTCCGTGTGGACGTTAGACCACACTAGATGGAAATCAGTTTGTCATATGATTTTATAATCCGTTCCATAATTACAGGGCATTACTGTTGTATGTGCAGCCGGCAATGAGAATGCAGACGCCTGTACCCGGTCCCCTTCCAGTGCGACTCACGTGTGAGTGTGCCTCCGCCATTTATAAATGCCATATGCTTTGGGTGGGGTGACAAGTACAAAAATGTTTCTTAATTCGCTTGGCAAATATGCATAAATATTGTGTATAAGTAGGTTTCGACAATTTTATTGTAATGCGTTGTGTACAAGGATTGAAAATGCTTGATATTGACTCGTTTTGCTCGACATACATGTACTTGGGCAGCTGTTGGAGGTAACGTACGTTCCCGCTGCGTCCTGTAGATACATATGCCATTTCAACACATCTGACGGCACTACGCGAAACTAAGTTTTTTCCTGTGATCTTTACAGGATATCCGTCGGATCAATTAGCAGAGCTGACAGGATATCAATGTTTTCTAATCATGGCAAATGCGTGACAATTTATGCACCGGTAAGATTTGGCATTTGGTTTGGTTGGTTTTGACTGCAGTTACTATTGTTCTTCAAAAACAATTATATTTACATGCACTGTAGTAGATATTTGTGTGTGTGTGACCTAGCTTAGAGCCAGTAATAGCTTTTAAAAAACCTACCATTACCTGTCTTCAGATTGCCTGATAGAAACTTTTGTGTTAAGATCCTAGAGGTACGCAGTTAGACTACAGAGGTTCGCTCATCATTAATTCTATATGCAAACGAAAACCAAAAAGGCTGATTTGCAGAATGCAAGTTTCTAAATCTAAATCCTGCCCACTTTTCGACAGCATATGCATGTATTCTTTGTTGGTACTTTTCTAGGGAGAGTCCATAACTGGTGGAAGCAGCTCTACTGATTTTGATCCAGTTACCATGACAGGTGAGGATGTAGCAAAAAGTTAGTTATTAACAGCCCATACACTCACCAATATATATAGTTTTCAAGTGGAATTTAATATTTACGGAGTTTTGTTTTTAAATTATATTAAGGAGTTTTTTTATCAATTACAGGAACTTCTGGTGCCTCTCCCATGGTGGTAAGTGTCGCCTCCCATTGGTAGTATATCCCTGCCAAATAACACAATCTTATTTAAAGTCATCTGATGCATGTCAGTCAAAAACCTAATCTATGTCTCCCGAAAAACAATTAAGAAATAATTCTGTAAATATAATGAAGTCTTTCTTTTTTAAGCTCTGTGAAATGTACAGTACATACATACGCATTCACATATATGTACATACCGGTGCATGTAGACGTACATGCATCTTTTACAATGTAAATCCTGTCGTTTACGTTTACAGGCAGGTGCTGCCGCCATTTATTTGTCTTCCAACCCGCCAGACACCAGTACCATGGGTATAAAGAGACATCTTTTAACAAGGTTTGTTATCAGATTCCAAACTTTCCCCTCCTTTTTTTTGCAAAACATTCTACCGTGTGCTACTTGCAGTATGGTAATTAATATATATAAGCAATTTCTGGTTGCCTGTGTGCACTTTATTTTTGCGGTTACGTTAGTGATCCATAGTCTTGGGTAACACATTGGTGATTTTAGAATGTCAACGTATATACCATATACAATGTACTGTAGTGTAAACGCCAATTTCAAATTGTGTTTCATCTGTACAAATATACCAATGGATGGTCCTGACAAACGTTAATTAACCTTTATCAAATTTCAGAGCTACAATAGGCAGGATAGGCAATTTTGATAGTAAAAGTGCGCAATGCTCAAACAGTCGCAAAAAGCGTTGGGTTGTCAATGGCTTTATAAATGGATTTGGATCATCAAACAAAGGAAATTCGCAGCTAAATAACTTTAACAATAATAACAACCGAAACCCAAGCTGGTCAAATGGAAATAGGTCACCCGGAAGGAGACCAAGCGGAAATAGGTCAGCAGGGGGCAGCCCATCGTTTGGGTTCATTCACAACTACTGGCTGAAGAGGTTCGGAAACATCTTTGCAATGCGGCCGACTGTTCAAACCACTGCTCCACCCACTACTACTACCTCTACAACTACTACCACTACTACTACTACTACTACTACTACTACTACTACTGCTGTGCCTACAACCACGACTATACCAACAACCACTACTCCCCCTCCTTCCACCACAAAGCCATTATCCATCGACGATCCGGCTGTGCAGGCCATTTTAGAAGAGGTTTCCGCGGACCTACAAAGATCTGGCGTTAATACAATCGCGGACCTGCAATATTACATAATCAACTCTCACAAACAGCAGAGCGTTAAGGACAACTTCCTCCATGACATCAGAGAAGATTTGGAACGAAACGGAGAGGCGAATTTGCATGTCGCTATAAATTTCTATGAATTGATTCGTCGATATTGGAGACAGTTTTCGATCTTTTACCGAAGCCCTAATGTCGCCACGACACCACGACCAACAACTACAACAACTCCTAAGCCGACGACCACTACCAAAGCAACAACAACAACGACGACTACGCCAACAACAACGACAACAACGACGCCAACGACGACGTCAACAACGACGACTGTGGCGCCCGTGGTTGATTCTATCACCACCCGACGGCCGCCATGGTTTTTCTTCTTTAGAAATCCCTTTTTCTTCCGGGCTCCACAAGCAGCACCCACCACGCAGCGACCAACAACGACGACAACTACGCCTACAACCACAACAACCACACCCACTACTACTACAACGACACCTACTACAACTACCACAACCACACCTACTACTACTACAACCACACCCACTACTACCACAACCACGCCCACTACTACAACCACGCCCACTACTACAACCACGCCCACTACCACCACACCTACTACCACAACAACTACGCCCACAACCACAACCACGCCTACTACAACTACAACCACACCCACAACTACAACTACGGCTGCAGTGCCGTTTCCAACATCAGAAAGTATGGAATGTCAAAATGCAATTCTTTACGTGGGCTGTTAAATGTGAAAGAGAATCGACCGACAGTTACATGCTGATATTTACCGTTGCGACGCATTCATTAATCTGATGTAGTGATGACTCTCATTTCAATGGGCACTCTTCACAATCATTGAAAAAAGAATATCATTCGCTCTTGTTATATTTGAGTTCTTTGGAATATGAACAATTATCATTAAAGCGGTCTTCATTGCTTTAATGATAATCATTAAAGCGGTCTTCATCGCTTTTGAAATGAACTCAAAGGGAAATGTCTTTGACTAGTTATCAACTTTAGTTACTGTTGGACTTCAAGTTAAATGAACGGAGAAGACGACTCACCATATCTATACTGAAAAATGTACACTACAAAATTCGAATTAACGTGATGATACTTTGCAGTTACATTGTACCATGGCATTTCTGTCGTGTGCAAATCACTGACAGATATATCCTTATACCTCAGTCTTATCCGTCCATAATGACGTAACTTACCGTGTAATATCTGGGTTTAAAATAGTCGAATGGGCGTGGCCTCGGAAGTGGCATATGTCCATCATCATCGTCATCATACGGTGCTCATATTTTTGTTGAAAGCTATGATAAATGATATTGTACCATGCAGGCGTGGCCGCAAAGAAAATCAACTGATACCAGAGTGAGATATACGAAGTGGACATGGCTTCCACAAAGGCGTGCTTAAATAATAATTTTAATGTTTAACAAGAAATTGAAGTAGGCCTAATGCTTGAACGGGCTACTTGAAGTGAGATGAAAAAGACTGTTTGATCTCTGTACAACATGGAGTCGAGTCAACTCGTGTAAGGGATGGTTGCCACCTTATTCAGAATATCCACCGCGTCGACTGTGTTATGGCAGCGCAATACATATATTGGTGACTTTTACTGATTCACTCATCATAACAACATGGATTATGTTAAGTTTGATAAGTTGAACAACTCAGAAATGTTATGTCTGCGGAGCTGACTTTGATCTGTTTTGACTGGTGATAATAAAATCCAATTTATTACAACAACATATCTCTACGTATAGTTCTTAATATAATCTCAAGCGTTCTGACATAATAGAGACCTGTTGCTTTTGCTTTGGCGACCACTTGGAGACGAAATTTGGCCAACTCTAGCAAACTCGGTACCGGTGTCAGTGGCTTTTCAATCTGAAAGAAAATCAAATCGATTTGAAATCAATATAATTATATTAATCTCATAGTCGCCCTACTTAGCCCGAATTGTTCACCATATTGAATGTTGCGCGTCATTACATATTAAGAGAAACGAACCGAAAAAGAGCTCCAAGTTATATATCTGTTTAAACATGTGTTTTACCCCGCAACCTGGAAATAAATCCCTTCACTTTACCGCTTTTAAAAGCGACCGCTTTCCTTACAATAAGTAGCGCTTTGAATGTCACAGATATAAGGAATGCGCACGTGTTTTTGGTCACCAGACATAAAAATATATCATTTCACAAAAATTAAACACATTTGGTCAGTTGGTGAATGAAGTCCAAGTCTATGTCACATCTAGTGCGTCATGATTACTGTGACTTATAGCAACTTTGAACTTGGCAATTCAAAAACTGTCAACATAATTCCTACATAATCACGGACAGCTATCTTGTGTAAATAATAAAGCAGTACATAATTCATTAGTCCAAAGCACAGGTGGGCATAGTCAATGTTTATTCTGACACCTGGAGTTCAGTAAAACCGCTAGCTTAAAGATGCTTTATAACATGCAGGACAAGTTCCTGCCCCCTTTTCGGAAATAATTTGACCGTGAATTATGCCTGTCAGGAAACCACTGCAATACCTAACTTACTGATCGTTTATGTAAAAAATAACCTGTTTGGATTAAACCATTTCAATATCAAACTAACATTTTTCTTACAAGTCCCTTCCCATCCCTTGTGGTTCTTGGCGAGGTCTATGAAATATGGAATATGGTACAGGGTACAGTTTTTAACATTTATTAAAATAGTCTTCATCTGTTCAATCCCACCTAACTCCCACTACGAAATGTTATTGTTACAGGTGAGTGTTGGAATTTGTTAGGTGCCTTGTCTGACCTTTCCCATGCTGCTAGGTTTAACTATAATCGCCATTAATGGCTAACTTTATGCGATGGTGACGGGCAATCGTTTTGATTTTATGGACAACATTAGTCTTAATGTAGCGTAGGTTAAATATTTTGTGTCCGCACTAGGCTACTGTGGTCTATAGGCCAGACTAATGTATAAAATGTTCTTAATGCCAAGTAAATGCCTTCTCTGTAAGACAATCCCTGTGTAATTTCATGGGGAATTCGAAGGTATGTTCTTTTCATCTTGTAGTTTAAATCAGTTTAAACCCTTTTCTCCTTTAATATTTCAACTATGTGTATGGGTGGCTGGAGAAAATTTTGTTTCTCGACGATGAATTATAAACTAAAAAGATGCACTGCAGTTGCCTTAATTGATTCATCGACAACAATTTACCTCATTGTTCTATATATTTGTATCTATTAAAGGCGACATATATGGTCATGTCTGCTTTATTGTACATGCTACTGGTTTACCTATCAATCCCTTCAACGGCCAATGGAGGTAGTATTGGGAACCACGCCCCACTATCTTCACTCTGGCCATCGGCCATGCATAGGTGGCTCAAGTGGTACCATGGACTCTTCAGACAGGATGCATGCGAGGCCAGACAAATATCACGCGACATCGCCTATCGTCAAATATTTGTGTATACTTATGAAGGGAACTGGAATTTAGATATTCAAAATTTTGCTCGCTTCAAGGAGCATCACAGTTGCGCTGGTCGAAAGGAGTAAGTTATTTTTTGTTTTGTAATGTAAAAGGCGGTGTGGTGTAACCGTTCCATATTTCTAACGATTTCATTGGTACTGTGCTTTTCGTATGTGTCATTGTCCACTGTCTATATTTAACCGATTTATTTTACTAATATAGTGGGTTGAAAACTTCTACATGTAGTTTCTAGCTATTTAATTGACTGTGTCGCAGGTTAATTTCTCTTAATATCTTCATGCCATTTATTTTACTCAATACTTGAATCTTAAGAAGCAAACTGTTTTTACGCCAACTTATCACATGTTCCTTCAGCAAACATGCAAAGAAAAATTGCTTGCTTATATCTCCATACAGAGTATTTCAAACATGTAGACAACAAAATACACGGTGATTATAAGGCGTACATTTGCAATATGCTTAAAATACCGTCTCTTATTTTCACAAGATAATGTATATATCCACTTAAAATAAAAGCCAAACTATCTTCCATCCTAGACTTAACCGTCCTCTAATGTCGTATCTAATGTCCTGTTGCAATCGTTCTGTGGTGAGAGAAATTGGTATTGTTTCTCATCACTTAATTATTATGCACAAAAATTGAGTTTATTTTTATATATGAAGATCATCAGAAAAGTCATAAATTTGAGGATCGGTTTGAATGAAATCTTGATATAATATTACTTGGCATAGCACAATAATTTAATAATCATGCGAACAATTTGTTGTAGTAACGAGAGTATTGTTGCCCAAGGAAGAAAACGTATCAAAATATTCGAGGAGCATTTTGGAATGAAGTTGCCGGCTTTAACTGACCAAGATCTCTTAGACGGAAAAGTACCATTGCTTGGAGGAAAACTAAGTTTCCATCCATACCACATCAACCCAGCAGCCAAATGTAGAGTTATCTTAGGTAAGATGGGAATTGTTTTTAGAAAATATGCATTTTATGAGGCCACGTGTTATAAGATAAACAAGAAAGAGGACTTATGAAGTATTTGTAAAATATATACACGGTAAAAGTAAAACAACTCAAAGAAGAAAAAAATAGCCCCATGTTTGACATTCTGGAGCAAAACGACTCATACAGGTACTTTGCATATGCAACCGAAAGGCAGCACCACTATGGCGTTTCATATGGTTTTATGTCTTTCTTTTCAGACTCAAATCGGCATGAGAGCCGGGCGTATAAGAACGTCCCAGTGTCAGATGCCGGGTGGATGGTAGAGGCCCTTCAGACTGTTAACGTTAGTGGTCCAGGATTTTCAGGAATTCTTATGCCAGGGTCTGCAATCTTCCAGGGAGAGTTCTTGTTCTATGTAAGTATCGGGGTCTATATGTACAATATATCAGAAAAAAGTAGGACCAAGCCAGATAGGATTGCTCATTTGCCGTGCCATTTTTATTTATCTCGCTTAGCTGTTTAAATTCACATTTCAGACATCTCGAGAAAACCCACACGGCGGGAAAGTTTTGATCCAATACGAGTCCAAAACACCCAGCTATGTGATTGAGAATGGGCGTTTGTTTCTCTGGAACCCTGAACTGTTTCATCCCGTGTACGGAAAGGGACGAGATGCCCACGTGTCTGAGCTGGACCCTGTCACAGGAAGATTTTCTGCTAGAGAGGTGCTGACTTTTTCACCAGATGCATAAATGAGTGGTGGTAAAATGGGAAAGAAGATAGCAGTCAACAACAGCAGAATGGAAGGGGAAATACATGCTGTATAGAAACGACGTTCAATGGATTCTAACCATTTGCTGGCCTAATATGAAAAACACGACACTGGCCAATAATTTGCAGTAATATGATCTATTATAACTTACAATGGTGCAAATTCAATACGGTATTCGTTCGGCTCAGAATTGTGAAAGTTAAAATATGTTAGATATTAAATTGTTTTATTTTGATGTCTTTATTTGGTGTTGGGAGTGAAGAAGAGGCCGTAAACAATAATTTTATTTACATACATATGTACTTACTTGGCTTATATTCACCAAAGGTATACATGTATGTTTCATTTTGCGTCTTGATTTGTTACTGCATGTGTATAACTGCGATATGAAAGAGCATGATGTTCATGTGTATTTTCTAAAAGCTTTTATGTTATGCGACCAATAAACTGGATAAATGCATTTAAAATCGATTTTATAGCGGAAATAATCAAGTATAACAACAAACAGTTTTTATAAAAACATTTCAAAAATCAGGGGTAATCATTCCGGTTCTTGGACTAGTAAAATGTATTTGAATAAACTGTAAAGCGCCAATCTATCTATCACTCAAGGTGCCGGTGAGATAGGAATGGTAGTCGTGGGAATAAAGTTTTGAGTCCCATGTGGTTAGTACAGGTTAGGGTTAGTTGGAGTATTGGGGTTAGAATATAAAGATTCATCATAATCGACGTGTGATCTCATATAAGAAATAAATATATTAAAAATGCATCTGTTAAGATCAACTAAAATTTATATAAAGCTGAGTAGTTTTTTTTTTGTCCCTGAAGAAGGCACCCAAGCTGAGAATCCGGGTGCTTTATACCAATTATAGTTGATATTAATAGATGCCTTCTCAATTAAATTTATGGAGGAAGTATATGGGACGGATATCAGCTATACAAAGTAAGGGAGAGCGAACTACGGTTCCTGATCTGGAGGACCTCCATCTCTGTCACATCGGGTCAGCTCTGACGTAGCTAAGTCAAAATGCCATTGGCCCGTCTAACTGCTTGCTTGTACACTTGAAGGACTAGATCAGTCCACGTGATCTCATGCCAGTTGTTTTTTTTAAACCGTTCACACTCTCAATATACACACTTCCTCTCGTGAGTGGTTCTCTGGCACCCAGTAGGTCTTTTTCCTCCGAGCGACCAATTACAATCAGGTTTTTTTCCAGGTCCCTCACAAAACGAAGCCGTCTGCTAGCGACAACCGCAGCTATACAGTAACAAGTAACAACGTTCTACCCAACATACTGAATTTTGCTTCATTCGCGGGGCTGCTACATGTACATTAGAATAGCAAGCAGAAGGTTAACCTAATTTAATGTTGTGTTTATACTATTTATTCCCAATTAAATCACTTGAGGTATCATTTGCATGGAATGTGGACATTATAACCACATCGCAGTAAATGTCAATATGCCCCTATTAGCATTGCAGCAGTCGGAAAGGCCCATGCTACTGTAGTGCAGTGTTATTAAGTGAAGATTAGAAATGGGCAGGTACTGGTATGTTATTTGTTTTAAAGGGCAGCATTTAAATCATTGGTTTACATTAGTATGTATTGCTATTACTACAATATACGCAATGTTTTGAATACATTTCAGAATTGATATCTTTCTGCCTAAATTATATTCTGTTGCGCATACATGTACATAGCAGCCATATAGAATTTAAAGTTAAATATTTTCCTATGTAACTGTAAATCAAATGACTCATTTGACTATATTGCTAAACGGCAATGTCTACAAATTAGGCGCTTTTTAATATGAAACAAGCTTAAAGTACAGGTATGGGGCCTACCGTAGGCCTACAATTTTGAAAATTATCTGATATATTTTTTACCAGACGAGAAACATTTATAGTGTTCACGTTGTATACACTACTTGTATACGGAAACCTCCCTACCGCTGGTTATGGGCATTGGTCTACACCATGGTCCTTTTATGGCTTGTTTAAATGGCTTCCCGGACTTAACAAACAACACACATGTGAGGCAAAATGTCTGCCGAAAAACAGTGAAGTTAAGCAGGCGTTGGTGCTTACATACAGTGGAAATTTAAATGATGTGGTTAACCCAGATTTTAATCTTTTCGAAGAACATCATAGATGCGCAGGCCGAAGCGAGTGAGTGGTCTTTACTGTGTTCTTATTAACGTTTCCTTGTAAATAGGAATGAATATCTAAAAATCAGACTGCTTAGATACAAAATGCCTTTGCTAAGCCAGCTGACGAAAAGGATTAGAAGAAAAGTTCGCTATTGAAATAAAAACAGTAGTAAATGGAAATTTTGTCATGTTTCTAAGTGTACTGTTTCCTAACAGCTACCAGTGTTCAGTCTTATTGTGTTGTGGTATGTAAAAACACTGCCATACAAGGTGAACTAATATTGTTTTAATCTTTTTCTTCTGTTGTTTAATAGAATTTCAGTTTCAATCAAAGCTTTAAGAAGTGTGATTCTTTTACAGCAACGCCAGTATAATTGCTGAAGGGAGAAAGCGCATCCAGATATTCGAGTATTATTATGGGATAGATTTATCCACCATTAAAGACCAAGATCTTCTTGACGGACGAGTTCCCCTCCTTGGCGGCAAATTGTTGTTTCGTCCATATCGCTTAAGCCCAGCGATAGACTGTAGAGTTATTCTCGGTAAATGCCGTTATCAACCATTCTTGTAAAAGTAATTAAGCTTTATTGTCATACCATCGCGCTATATGTATTACAATTTAGGTATTTCTGTGTGCTTTTATTGTAGGCCTACCTGTAGCGTCCTAGTACTTGTGTACGTAGTTTTAAATAGTTGCTTTTCTCGATGTTGTACATTTAATCCTGGAGGCAGGATTCAAGGCGTACATGTAAACCTACACGGTAGGTATAAGGTAAAGAGGCTGTGGGATTGAATTCACATATATATACACGTACTACCGCTAAGACCCGCTTGGCGAATAGACGGTTTAAATAATGGATATGCTGTTATTTCAGAGTCTAATCCTTTTGGCAGTTGGTCCTACGAGAACGTGATAGTGTCTGATGCAGGTTGGGTTATAGAGGCCATAAAAGACGTCAACATAACCGGACCGGGTTACAAAGGCTCAGTGTCTGCCGGTTCTGGCATCTACCAAGGAGAGTTTCTATTTGATGTAAGTGTGAATAAAAATCAGTTTACAAATCACTTCTGGTTCATGAAAAAAATCTCTGTTTTATTGTTCCTCTCGAAAATAACAGAGTATCAAATCTCGGAATATTATCATATTTTACTCATTTTCCTATTGTTTATAAAGTTATGTCATATAAAACCATGCAATTTATTTCCATGCACTTCACCGCCGAATTAATTTCTTAGTCTTTTTCTTCAGACATCTCGAGAGAACCCTTACGGCGGCAGAGTACTCATCAAATTTGAATCCAAGGAACCTCAATATATTACAAACGATGGTCGCTTCCTTATTTGGAAAGCAGAATTATCCCATCCTGTGTATGGCAAGGGGCGTACTGTCCATTTCTTAGAGGCAGATCCTGTTACATCCAAATTTGCAAGCAGAGAAGTGCAAACCTTCCCAATAGATGCATAATCGCTAAGCTACATTTTGTGATCGATGTACTTTTTAATACTTAACAGAGATTAAGTCATAACATACATTTAATTTTCCAGACGTTGATTAATAAATCTTATGGAGCTAGAAGTTCGATTTGCTTAAAGCTTCTCTCTCTGTCTCTCTTATTTCAGCACAGAGAGGTATTGGGGACAGTTTGGCACGTTTCAGATAATAATGTTCTTTTTAATCTTTTCTTCGCAAAAAAAAAAAAAAAAAAAAAAAAAAAAAACACACACACACACTAAAGGTCACATTACACGAAAGGACCAGTATACATACTGTCAAGGCATACTGATAAACACAGCAAATAAAAAGTTACAATACGCTTAACCTTCCACAGTACATGGACTGTCATAATATACTACATATCAAAGTACCAAAGTCACATTACACAAAATCTTAGAGAAAACGTTACTTTAACATTTAAAACTGTATATAAAGAATCCCAACAAACCTTACCCTGTGGTAAATGTTAGGTACACGTTGTCATACAAATGGGGTCTAAAAGTGCACGCTGGTAGTCAAGATATTTAATGATAATTATTAGCTAAACAAATATATAAATTGCTTTTTAAGATGTATATATATATATTTCTATTAAACATACAATTGCACACGGGATATTCGTTTTGAAAAGAATTTGCAATTGACTGTTTGGCTGTGAAATAAGTCATGATTAACATAGACATAGATTAACATAGATTAGCATACATCATGCATGCTTTATGTTTACTTTTAATAAAAAAAGTGGTTATTCAGTGTCACGACATCTAAATGAAATATAATTTCATCATTATTTTATCATATTGTGCAGCAGTAACCATTTATTCTTCCAATCAGAGCTATGTCCAAGAGCTTTTTCTGGTTCGACTGAGTTGATGACTATTTATTTATTTATTTATTATGAGTGTTGAAATTATGCTAGCAAGACCATCCGAAGAGAATACATAAATAAAAAAAAATCATGCGATTCAATTTCCTGTACAAACGAGTATAAACTCATAACATGGCAAACCGCCATTCAATGTCATCTTACAATAATATTTATCCACTTCGCCAAATAATCAATCCGGGAATGGGTAAAAAATTGGACTTTGTTAAAAACACGCACTAGTAGAAATACACAACGCAGAAAATAGAATGACAAGTGAGATAAAAAAGGTAAGAGCGTGTTATATACAGGCAGGTTGGCGGTCACTGTCTTGGACTGAAATTTACCTTACAATCGAATGTATATAAAACAAGTCCCAGGTGTGCTCATACAGANACATTTAATCCTTTTCTTATTTTGAAAAAAATATTATTCCGTTTGTAATGATGATTTATTTCAGGGTGTGTTTGGCAAATCGGATATGTTGAAATCAATAGATATTAATCTTATTTTTTTATTTTTATCTAAAATAAAGTAGCAATGAAGTTAAAATTTTGTTATTTTCGTACAGCAATGCTAGCATCATTGCCGAAGGGAGAAAGCGCATCAAATCCATTGAGGACCATTTTGGGATTGATATGTCACTGGTGAAGGACACAGATCTCCTGGACGGAAGAGTTCCCCTTCTTGGGGGAAAACTGTTGTTTCATCCATATCACTTCAGCCCGGGAGCAAACGTGAGGTTGATATTAGGTAAACTGCACATATTTGATCAATCAAGTAAGATAAAAATGCAACAAAACTTTTAGAGTAAAATATGATTAGGAATGAACAAGATCAATCGCTCTTCAACATAAACCAAAGACTATCTCAATAATAGTTTGCTGGAAGATTACATGCTACATATTTTTGTTCATGCTGCTTCTTTAGAGTTAAACTCCTACGGAAGCTGGTCTTATAAGAACGTTCCAGTATCTGATGCCGGCTGGATCATTGAAGTAATAGAACCAGTCAACTTAACTGGACCGGGTTACTCTGGCAGAGTGGAACCAGGGAATAGCATCTACCATGGGGAATATCTGTTTTATGTAAGTATAGTTATAATAATGTTTATTGAACACGAAATCGTACAATTGGAACATTTGATGCTGTCTTTCTGTGCGCGTCACTGTACTGTGAAATTCATTAGTAGATTTTGCGTCGAAATACATGCATAAGTTATGATCACAAAATGATACGTACATGTAGGCATATATATGAAAAAAAAACTACGTGACCTACCTTATATAAAAAGATGTAAGACAAAAATTATATGTACACGTAAGGGAGTCAATGAATTTTAAAAAGATCGAAATCATCTCATTTTGACACATTTCCAGACATCCCGAGAAAACCCTCGAGGCGGCAGAATTATAATCACAACCGAATCCAAGGAACCACAATATATCACCGGAAATGGTCGTTTCGTGGTTTGGAATGCTGAGTTATCCCACCCTCAATATGGCAAGGGGCGCACTTTCCTTTTGTCTGAGATTAATCATAATACATCCGAATTTATTACGAGAGAAACACTTATTTTTCCGCGGGATGCGTAATTGACTCAACCAAAAAGCTATGCAAGCCACTAAGCATCAACATGTACTGGTCCATGCATACGCAAGTCTATAAACAAAGAATATAACCACTACAGACCTCACTACTGAAAAAGCGTTTGAATGAATTAACAGCGGGAAAATAACAAAAATAAATCGAACCAGAGATATGCGAACCTCTGCACATCGAACACAATAGTAAGTTTATCCATCAGTAAAGTCAATTTCATAATAATAATCGAAACTAAGACTTTTAAGAAAAATCGCCGGCAGGGTTTGGAGTACTAAATCGTTTCATTAAATCGGCGTTGAAACAGTGATGATGGGTGCTCTGGTAAAAGATAAATTAGAGAAACTGATTTAGAGAAACAATTATGAGGTCACCCGTAAGATGACGTGTAAATGTTGATAAATTTAGTCACTGAAGACTGAATATATAATTATCACCCGAAACAATGTGTGTAATCCAGTAAATAAGGAGTTTTGGGAGAAGGGTGACAGTATCCTATGAAATGAGCTAATAACCCCAAAACCGGTGAGTTCAGAACAACTTCCAATTTAAACATGCTGTCTCAATAATATTCTACATGGTTTGTGGTTAATGACGAAAAAGTGATGAAGTTTGGTACTTTTGGCACAGATTGGCAGTTACAGACTAACTCCATCTTAAGTGATAGCTCAGATTTTAACTTCTTAATACAAAGATGAAGAACCAATTCCCCGAGGAGGGCATAATTGAAAAGTTAATTTTCCTGTCTTTCATCACTTCTTATGCAACCAGATGCCAATGAAAATCAATTAGACGAAAGTAATTTGCCCATCAATATGACAACTGCTTTTAACTTGCACGACTTCAACGACTTGCACTCGGCGTCAGAGAAACCCATTAATTGCGAAATGTTATGAAAGTTAATTTATTAAGCTAATTTATTAAGTTAAAAGATTAAGCATAACGAAACATCCAAACTTGACAAGAAGAATTTATATAAGAATAAAGTGTGGATAAGGTCATATGTATGTCAAATATTCTGAAATTAAAATAAATAAACAAAAATTATTAATAAAAAAAAGATAAAATATAAATTTAATCAGTTAAACATTCAATATTTCTCATTCTACTTATGAAAGGTGACTTCTAATAAATAAAGAGGCTTCAGTCTTCATTGCTACAAGATAATAACCAAGGCTAGTGACGTTTAAAGAAGCATTATAAGTTCGAGTAAACTAATGACAGTTATCATCTGTTGTCTGTTTCAAAGTCATAAGTTAGCTACCGATAACTATTTAAAGCACTCTTCCAATCATCACAACTTTGCTACCTGCTCGAATCAGCAAAATTTACTTTTTGTTATTGACAAGGCATACTTTCGTTGGTTGCAACTTTCCAATTCCAAATGGGGAAATTGAAAGTGCTTGTTACATCTTTCCTCCTGGTAATGGTTTTCCTTTGTCATTCAAAAGCTATCAAACAGATGTCAAGAGGAAAATCGACAGCAAATTTGGAAGTGGCAAAAAAAGTAAACCCACCTTTAATGAAAGACAAGAGAGGGTATCTTGGAAGAGGATCGAATGCGGAAGCTAAACATGAGGGGACCAAAACAAGAGCAGTGGTAAAAAGGCATATCAAACGGCGCCCCTTCCAAAGTTCTGATTTTTCTGAGCCCTGGAGACCTGGTAGGTTTCGGCGTCATTTATTGGCCGATGGCAAGGCTGATTTTCCAAATGCAACTCTGAATCAATCCGAAAATAATGAAGTTACACCTGCATCGAGCACAGAAGCTTCCATTAGAGCTAATACGAATCTAGCTGAGATTACCAAGATCATCCAAATTCCAAAACCAAACGTTCAATATTGTCTTACTGGAAATTCTCTCGGTGATAGGTTCTTCCAAATACAATGTTCCTGTGACAAATACTGCCACATGTTTGATGATTGTTGTTGGCTAACGGAGCGGGACTGTGCTTCAAACCACACAGAGCAAACTATTAACCGAAATATTACCCTACCTCAAATGAAATGCCTGAAGGCTCCACTGGCACATTCAAAGAACAACCTAGTTTATTTTTGGTTTGTCTCGACATGCCCCAAAAGTTGGCAGGATGAAGGCATTCGAATGAAGTGTGAAAGTAACAGTCCCGATATGACAGACCTCGCTTTACATTATACCCCTGTGTACGACGAAGTATCTGGACTCTCTTTTAAGAACATTTTCTGTACACAGTGTCACAATATCTCAGATATTAATCCCTGGAATGCCACCTTTGGTTGTTATCACCAAGGCCCGCTGAAATTCCAAAACGTTTCATCTGCAGATGAAGCCATTCGGGAGGTTTTGAAGACCGACTCAGATTGCTTCATCAACTACTTTTCTACAAGAAATTTGGCCATGCGTCTGTGTGCGGCTGACGAAAGTGAAGCAATGCTAGCAGAGTGTCCGACTGTAAGATACCTTGAATTATATTGGAAAGGTGTCAATACGGGTATACCATATGACGTACTGGAGGATCTGTGCTTTGAAGGACCAACTAATATTGTAAACTTGCAAAGCAGACTCTATAGGAATTTCTTCTGTTTTTTTTGTTGGGA